CCTGCACCTGTTCCCTCCTCTCCATCTCCATTGACATTTCTCTAGTCCTGGCCACAATCTCTCTCACCTGGCCAAATTTTCTAACCATCATTCTCTGTGTCCACTCTTGCCCCTGTCTGGATAATCCATCCTTCCCACTGCAGCCACAATGAGAGTGCTCTTTCTAGAACCCAGATGTGATCATGTCTTCCATACACTGCCACTACCTGGTAATTCATTGGGCACGGTGGCCTGGGAAAATTCCTTACACCAGTGAGTAATGTGGAAGTGTTAGTTAAAGCTAGGCTAAAGTCACAGAAATGGCAGGGCCTTCCTCATCCTCCTGATCTTTCCCCCAGCTGTGCATTTATCCTCTGGACTTTCCTCCGTCATGGTGCCATATTGTTTGTACACTTGCTAATCTTCCCCACTGGACTGTGGACTCTGGATCTTGTTCAGTTCTGTATCCACAGCACCATGCACAGTGCCTTGCACAGAGCAGCCATTCAAAACTAAATAGTAACAGAGACAACACCCTCTCCCTCAAACACAGCATGTTAGTTACCTATTGCTGCCGTAACAAATTACTGCAAACTTAGGGGCTTAAAGTGACACACACTTGCTATCTTATGGTTCTGTAGGTCAGAAGTCTGACATGATTTCACTGGGCTAAAATCAAAGTGTTGGCAGGACTGCATCCCTTCTGGAAGCTCTAGGGGAGAATCTGTTTCCTTACCTTTTCCAGCTTCTAGAGACTGCCTTCCTCTCTTCAAAGCAAGCAACGTAGCATGTCTCCGACCTTGCTTCTGTTGCCACATCTCTTCCTCCGAACGCAGCCAGGAAAGGTTCTCCAATTTTGAGGGCCCGTGTGATTAGATTGGGTGCACCTGGATAATCCAGGCTACTCTCCCCATCACAAGGTCAACTGATTAGTAACCTTAATTCCATCTGCAACCTTAATTCCCCCTTGCCATGTAACCTAACATTTTCACAGGTCCCAGGGATTAGGGCATGGGCATCTTTAGGGACCATTATTCTGCCCACCATAAGCAGCAACAGGTCAGGACCTGAATTCCATACAGCAACCCCTTTCTAAGGCTTTTCACACAATTGCAATGCTTTTACCTAATTGGCTGCAGTCACTTTTAGATTAAAACTATGATTAAGTCCCCTCTGTGTCCCCAGTGCCTGGCCTAGGCAATCAGCCCATGTGAGGTGCTCATTGTCTGTTGACTGGAAGTTAGTAAGTAAAATATTGGTTGGCTGGAATGTTTAAATGTCAACTTCTTCATTCCCCTTAGAAAACGGAGCTTTGATTGTTGAGGTTTCAAGAAAGTGTTAAAAAAACAATTTTGTAGCACAATCAGGGGGTCCAATTGCCATTATTTTGCTTTCTCACACTAAACCAGCTCTAAGATTGAAAAAACAGGCATCTTCCATTATCTGACAGAAGTCTTCCAGATTTTTCAGATGAAAAAACAGCTCACATGCTTTTTGCCTAATCCACATGGGAACACAGCTGTATAGGAAATTCAAATGAACAAAAAAAAAATCATGCAATAAAGCCTCGTGACTCCCAAAGCAACCAAGAATTGAATACGTCTCAAGCAATTTTTATAGGATTGGTATTTAAACACACAGTGAACCACTTCAGTTCCAACAAATCTGGAGAAATTAAACCTTGTTTCCCAGAAGTGCTCACAGAGCCTTCAATGCATTTTTCCCTCACTGCAAAAGAAATAACTTGCACAGCTAAGCTGTGTCTCTTTAGTGGGACCCAGTGCCCATCAGACAGAACCAAGTGGAAAACGAGCAAACCTAGTGTCCGAGCGGGACACCAAGGACAGGACTCCTAGGCTGCAGCTGCAGTATGGGTGCATGATAAAGGAGAGGGGCTCTTTCACTAGGCAGACAGAATTGGCCAGAAACTGTCAGGTCTCATGGAGTTCAGGCTCCAGCCATGACAGCCCCCGCTAAGCCAGTTCTCAGAGTTTAGTCTTCACCATGGCAACCACTTGGGACACCTCCAACTTGCTGAACTGGAGATTCTGCAGGAAAGCAGCCCAGAGTAGAAGCATGATCTGCAAAGAGTGTTCCATATTTTATTTACATAGCACCTCATCAGCAAAACCTTATGGAATATTCAACTTCAGTTTCAGGAGCCTTCTGAATCCTGGTCAAAATGTTTCAGTGTACATCACTTCATCTGATTCCCCCGAACAGGCCTGGCAGCTTACTTGGGGCTGGAATCATAATCCAGTACCTACCACAGTGCTGGCACATAACAGTAGCTCAATAAATGTTTACTGAGTCAGTGAACTGTCATCATTTTACAAAGGAAGAAACAGGCTCAGAGAGGTTTCAGTGGCTTTTTAAGTGGCAGGCAGGGCTAGGACTCTGGCTTTTCCCTTCTCCTCTTCCACCACACTGGCCTTCCAAATCCAACTCAACAAAGGTCAGGAAGACTTTTCGCTCCTTTTCAACAAACATTCATTGAGTATCTACCCTAAACCACATCTTTCCACCACTCTTCCCCTGTTCTCTGCCTGGCTGGCTCCTTCAAGCCTTGGTTTTAATGTTACCCGCTGAGCAAGGCCTCCCGACTAGTCCTCCCACATTCCTCCCACCGCCTCCTCACGTCCATTACTCTCTACCACATTCCCGACTTGTCACTTATCCCAATCTCCAATTATTTAATTTCTGTATTTGCTTGTTTATGGTTGGCCTTCCCCGACTGGAATGTAAGCTCTGCCAGCGCAAGGGGCTGGCCCAGACTTTCTGGTGACAGTCAGCCCACTGTAAGATGACTGGGATGCGGCCACTGAAACAAAAAGCCAATGTGGTCTCAGGCACATTCATAAAAATGTCTAGAACAATAGACTTCTGGTGCATGTCTGGAAGACAGGAAGGGAATGGGGTTGTTTAGCTTGGGAGTGGAAAGACAGGGAAGACACACCAGCTCCTCTTTTCAAACGTCTGGAGGCTGTGACCCAGAAGAGGAGCGTGGACTTGCCCTAGAGGTGCAGTGGGAGAGGGCTGAAGGGGAGGAAGTTGCAGGGGCAGGTGTGGGTTCAAGGTGCTCCTTGTTATGATTGTTGGGTACTTACTGTCTTCCCCACTGATATGTAAGTGCTCAGAGAGGAGCCCGCATCTATTTCATTCCGCACTATATGTATACAGCACAGTACATGGTATGTTTGTTACTCAATAACTATTTGATTGAACGAATGTTATGTGAAAGATCAGTTATAAGTGGAGAGCTGTCACCACTCACTCTGCCCGGAATGCTCCTCATCCTCACCCCCCTTCATCTGGTTGACCCTCTACTTTCTCTTGAGGTCTAAGCTTAGATATCACTTCATCAGGAAAACTTTCCCTATTCCCTCCCACCAGATTACAGTCCCCTCCATAGCCTCCCGTACTTTTCCCGTACTTAGCCTTAGGATTATTGTATTTCATGTTATTTGCTCATTACTTAAGATAGATATTCCCCTACCAGAAGGCAGGCTTTCTTGCATGAATGATTCCTAACAACCCTATGAGATAGCTGTCAGCAGCTCCTGTAGAATATGCTCTGTCAGAACAGGGACTGTTGTTGTCTGCGGCTATATCCACTAGGTGTGCCGCGAAGTAAGCACTCAAATATTTCTTGAATGAATTAACTTTATAGCTAAGAAAGTGGAAAGGCTCAGCAAAGTCAAGTAACTGGCCGACATTACACAATAAGAAAGTGGCAGAGCCTGGATTTGAACCCAGGTCTGTGTAACTTCAAAGCCTGGGTTGTTTCTACCACACCAAACTATGTGGGCACAGAGCCATTGCTTGGGACAAGCTCTGCCACAAAGATGGGCCCCTTACTGAAAATATTGAAGGATGGAGTGTGAAGGCATGGTGCTATCCAGGTTGCCTTGCCCATGGGCTCAAAGAGACACAAGGGGGCACTTCACTAAGAATTTGAGAAACTTCCCCACCAGGGGAACCCATGTCTGCCAGGCAACAGTGCAACAAATGGAGGGACAAAGCTGAGACTTCAGCCTAGTCTGATGACTGCAGGTTGTGGGCAGCAGGCTAGAAGTCTGCAACTCCCTCCATCATCCTTCTAGTCATACTCAAGATGGATTAGCCTGCCATTGGAGCCAGCAGAGTAGTGGTTAACAATCTAGACTTTGGAGTCAAGACTGGATTTGAGTCCTGGCTCTGTCACTTAGTAGCAGTTTCCTCATCTGTGAAATGAGAATAATAGAATGTACCCTCACAGCATGATTAAGATTAAATTAAAATGCAGATTAAAAATTACCTCATATACACACTGCCTGTATCCAAGAGGGGCTCAAAAAAATGGAAACTACTATTGTTATCATTTCCAGTTTATTTCAAGCCTCATACCTCATACTGCATCATCTGTGTGGGGTACTTCGTATACACGACCTTATTATTAAGTCAAAACATCTATACTTTCATCTCCTTAACACTCCTGCATTGAGTCAGGTTAACAAATGTACTTGCTCAACTCTAATGTAGGGCTTTATTTGTGAATTAGAAAACATGAGTTTTTTCAAGAAAAGAGCTTCTGTTGTGTGGGCCCACCACCTGTGTCTCTTACGGGACCATGAACCAGGAAGCTGGAGTGCACAGCAACACAACACAATAATAGTGTGGTTGGTGCCACTACTCGACTAGACAAAGTTGCTGTCAGCAAACTCTAACCTACGAAACTTCTCATGTACAAAAAGAAAGACCTATCTTTAACTTGGAAGAAGGACTGTTTGTGGGATCATGCTTTCAACCAAACTTGGAACTGCCTTTCTCCCTAACTAGATACAGAATTTACTCTCCCCGAATAATGGAATGAACATTTTCATGACATTATCCATTATTAAGCTAACAGGCTACAAATCAATGTAACAGAATTCAACTGCTTTGAGGTGTGTTTCATAAACGGTCCAATCGTGACCATAAGCAAATACATCCAGCCTTACACATAAGCACCAAAAATTTGCCACCCCATAAGTTATGTTCTCTTAGGTTTCTCTTTGTTTCTTTTTTAAACATCAGTCTTCCTCCTTTCCCAGTAGGTATATAGGTAGAAAAATGAATGAAGTCAGCACTCTTTCCTTTTCACTAGAATAAACTGTGACTCAAATACGGTGAGTGGTTATTTGCAAGGCTATAATTTTTTTAATGACAGATTTTCCTAAAAGAAACCACTATAACATCTGTCCAAGTACTCCAAGGGAAAACAAAAAATACATAAAGATTAAAAGTCTATCACTTTAACAGCACATTGCCAAACACAGACAACTAGGGTCAAATGCCAAGGAACCTTAAAAAATAACTTTAAAAGATGCAACGTTCAAGTTATTCAAACGTGTAGGGTCCACAAAGAACAGAAAAGCAAGTTCGAGAGCGGTTCTACTTGTGCATGATGGTAACTCAGACTGTACTTCATCCGAGTTCATTCAGGTGGCTAAAACCAACAGATGGATGAGCAGTTTCTTTTTTCTTCTTTGCTTGGAGATGTGCACACAGATTAGAGGAGAGGAGAATCTTCCAGATGCTGATGTAAGCACAGCAGGCTTGGTTCCCCTTTGATAAAGTACGAAGGCAGATTGAGTTGACTCAAGCTTTACCAGTTTCCCTAAGAAAAAGTCTTATGCATGCTGAAACAGACGAGTTACTGAATTGGGCATGCTAAGTATTTACAGCCATTTTCACAAAGTGAGCTCAGTAACCTGACAGAATAAAAAAAGTAGTTGTTAATTTCTCGTATAACCTTTTACAACTTGAATAACTTCGTGGGTAAATGACGCTGAAGTTCCAAGCCCCTCAAACATACATTAACAAGAAATTACTGACTGCATGAAGAGGCACACATCATATAAAATGCACACTTCACGGGGTTCCTGCATAGCAGGAAAATCACTACCACTACAGAACAAATGGCTACGCCAACAGTTAGAGCTGCCACTCACGGGTACGACAGAATTCCCTTAAAAATCTCAAGGAGTGTTTACAACAGCAGACACCTTTGGGGGAATAAGAACATATTTCGTTTGAAAAGACATTTTTCATTGGAAACTTTGAACATCATGTAAACAAATCAATTTTTGAATTGGGTAAGATTTAAGGCAATGCTACTCAGACCTGAGGGGGGGAAAACCACAAAAGTTTCTATTTTTCTTCGGAAACATTAACAGGTCAGAATCAACATCAGAAAGTATCCCCCTTCTGAGCGTTCAATGCACCTTTAGGTATTGCCAGCATTACAAAATAGCATCCACTTTCGTACTCTGAGTATGAAATGGGAAATTGTTATCTACTCTTCCTTGAAAACTGTAAAAAAAAGAACACATGGCAGCTTAGATAGTTCATATTAAAAAGTAACATGACAATGAAGACGACTACACCCGGTGCACACAAAGGAGTCCCTGCCTTTACAAGAAGCTCTCCAGAGCACTGTATTTCTCTTCCGGCTGACTCTGGTGTAGTGTGGAACACACATGGATTCATAAATTAACTTTTAACATCAACTACAGACTAACGAATGACAATTAGACACAGTAAGTTCAAAAATTTTACATTTTGCTCCTGTTTGGCTGCTAAAGAGCAGCAATTTAAATCGATATAAAAACTTCTGACCACAAAGCTTGCTATACAGATAAAGTACATAATCAAAAAGTAAGCAGCAATTGAGTTTCTTATTTAAACTTATCTAGTATAGAATATTTACATATTTGGGAAGAGAGATCTCCGAAACCACCATTCTCTTCACTCCCCTCCTGCCCTCGGCCCGTCTCCACCCGCCCTAGTCCCTCCAAATGGAAATCAAGTGTCCTGAACTATATACACCTGTACTTTGGCTAAGCTGGCTGGATGTGACTCCTTCTGCGGTCCTGGTCTGGAAGAAAGGAAACAAAGTCTTGGAAGTCATTTGCAGCCTTCCTTTCTGAACAGCAGTGGACTGTACTCAACGAATCTGTTCTTTTGCAGCAAGGGGGCAAAGGGCCCCCACACTTCACTCATCAACCTGAATGGGGCAAGATCTGAATGCCATCAGCCTCTTGCGCCACAACAGGCCACCAGAGAAAAAGGAAAGAAAAAGGTCCCAACAAACACAGCAACGAGCAACACAAGTTTCCCAACAAAGGAACCTCTCCTCCCTGGGCTCCCCCAGAAATCACACTCCCTCTTTCCTCTCCCTCCCCTCCCACAAAACAAAATGAATTCACATCACAAGAACTTGGTACTCTGGTTAAGTGTCAGGTAAATATAAGAAAGAGTAAAACTGTCACTTTTTATACTTTAACTGAGACATAAAGCTAACGGAACACACAACATCACTGTGAAAATAACTTTCTAAAACAGATCCAGTCTACATAGTGCAGCCAATAAAACATAAAAGAATAGTTTGTTCACAATCTGCCTTGTACAGGATATTTATCTTCTTTCGATGCCATATAAATAGCATTTATATAGCTTAAACATTCAGAGACATGCACTGGGACTTTTTAGGTAGTACGAATTTCTTCACAATCACATGTGCAAATTTTACAAATCACTAAGTGAGTATTAGTAAGCTTAGGCTGGACTGTGTCTCGTATTATCTAACAAATTTAATGGGGGTTCAGAATCATCCATAGGAAGGACCAGGCGTGTTCCCCGAATGACCAGTTCGTGGTCCCCAAACGCAAGCTCCCGATCCAAGGCATCTTCAGAACTGTTTCCCATAAATCTCCTAGGGGCACCGGATGTCGCTGACTCAGTGTTCACAGTAGAATCCCCATACGTCAGACTAATATCGCCGTCATTGAGAATAAGATCAGAGTCGTCATCTTTCAATTGTTCCTGGTTCTAAACGCAAATAAAATAAGTTTTAAGAATTGTTATGAAATTCAGGAAACATTTCCCATAGGAAAAGTTTGAAGGATTCCCTGTTTCAAACCCTTCAGGGGTAGCCCTCTGCCCTCAGGATAAAGTCTAAAGTCCTTCCCTTGGCTTAAAAGACACTGTGTGACTTGGGGCTTCAGCTTCACCTAACACCACAATGTGCTGCTCCCTCCCAACAGCCCCACTGTGTGCCCGCCAGACTGAATTGCTGATGGTTGCCCAAATCTCTCCTGCTTTCTCTGACTTCCTGCCCCCTCCACCCACCTTCACGGGCAGCCTACTTATCACTGAGGTCTCGGCTTAAAAGTCATTTTCTCCCAGAAGTCTTCCTTGATCTTCCAAGGCTAGCTTAGGTGTCCCTCCTGTGTTCTCTCTCAGCATCCTGTACTCAGCCATCTCCTAGAGTGGCACTTCCCCTTGTATCATACCTGCATGTGTACTGGTCTGTTCCATACCACCCCCTCCAGTAGACTCAAGTCCCTTCTTTGCTGTAGCCCAACTACCTAGCAGTTTGGGACACACAGAGAGTATTCACTCAAGTTCAATTGATTATTGAGTGGATTTATATAAATGAAACTTTTATTTTTGTATTAACAGTGCCTAGAAATACAGTATCACCCAAATATATTGAATCCTCATTGTATACTTGTCTCCCAGCTCGCTAGGCTTTGGTTCTAATGAAAACTTTGTAGCCAAGAGTATAATTAAATATAGTTCTACAAAAAAAGAAAAAGTCAAGCATATATAGTGCCATTTTGGTAAATAAAAAATGTATGTGTGCACAGAAAAGTGTGGAAGGGTATTCAACAAAATGATGATAGTTAGCTCTGCATGATAGGATTGCTAGTGATTTTTATTTTTTTCTTTATGTTTCTGTACTATCTGAAATTTTATGGTAATGAATACATACTACTTTTAAAAATCAGGAAGTCGTTTTTCTAATGTAAAGAGTAAAAATCATTCTAAACACTCATTGATCCAGAAAAAAAAGTCTGTGACTAATACTCCTTGAGGGAAGTAGAGCTGATAGAAACATCTTACATCCAGCTCTCCTATCCTGTATGTTTGAAATTTTTAAATTTGTCTAAGATAGTTAAATAGATTGAAGAGACTATTAGACAAAAATAAACAAAAATTAATTTGCTGTTGCTAGAAATTTGCCTAAATATTCAAAGACAAAGACATGTGAATTAAAAACCAAACAAACCCATTCCACCAACCAGCCGTAATCCCTTCCTACCCAATCTAGTTATAACACTAAGTCTGACTGGTGTCTATCACTTAATTCAGCAACACTCACCACAAAGCCCCAGGGCACCTTCACACATCAGCAGCAGCTCCTCAGCACCTTCTAATGTTTTTATTAAGTTTGAGGTTTGGGGCAATATCTATCAAATTTTAAAATGCATATGCCTTTTGCCCCAGCAATTTAATCTTTAAAATCTATTCTATATACCTTTATATACTTGGGTAAATTTATATGCACAAGGATATTTGCTGTAAACATTGTAGTAACAAAAAAGCAAAGGAAACAACTTAAAGGTCTATCCACAGGAGACTGATTAAATCACTCTTAGTATAGCCACACTATGCAGCCACCAATAAAGAGAAGGTAACAGATCTCTTGTACTCATAGAAAGGGATCCATGATGTATTATTGAGTGAAAAAAGCAAGTGGCAGGACCATACACTTATTATGATCCCACTGGTGTAAAACAATACCAAACAAAGCTTTATATACACATATGAGTTTGTGTAGATAAAAATATCTGGGAGTATCTGCGATAAACCCTTAACAAAGACTGCCTCTGAGGGATGCAGGTGGGAGGAGGGCGGCTTTTATTTTTCACTTTGTACATTCCACAGGTTTGAATATCTGGCCATAAGCATGTTACTTTTATGACTAAAAAAGTAGTTAATGATGACAAAAAATAACATTAAAAATTAAGTTTTATGGTTGTTACAGGTTATATTGTGTCCCCCCAAAAGAGGTTGAAATCCTAACTCCCAGCACCTGTGAATGTGACCTTATTTGGAAATAGGATCTCTGCAGATAACCAAGTTAACATGAAGTCATTAGTGTGGGCCCTGATCCAATATGACTGGTGGCTGTCCTTATAAAAACAGGAAATCTGGAGACACAGACAGACAGACATACACAGGGAGAACACTATGTGAAGATGAAGAAAGAGATGTGTGTGATGCTTCTACAAGCCAAGGAATACCCAAGATTGCCAGCAAACCACCATAAGCTGGGGAGAGGCCTGGAACAGATTCTCTCTCACAGTCCTCAGAAGGAACCAACCCAGCCAACACCTTGACCTCAGAATTCTAGCCTCCAGAACTAAGAGACACACATTCTGTTGTTATGCTGCCATTCAGTTAGTGGTATTTTGTTATGGCAGCCCAAGGAAACTAATACAACAAAGTTGTATTTTGCTATATTCCACAGGACACACAGTCGTGGAACTGTTGGCTTTTGGTGATGGTGAGTGGGTCTCCGGAATCCAAGAGCCAAGGCTCTTGGACTTAACCAGCAAAGCTGGCTGAGCCCTCTGCACAGAGCCACGCGGGCACACAGGGCCCAGAAGGAATGGAGACTGTGCTTGAGGGGAGCCTGGACAATGTAGGAGGCAGAGACAAGACAACATGGGGTGTTCCTCCCACCACCAGCACGATCTGTCACAAACTGCACTGACGCAACGTAATACAAAGCTGTAGGGTATTCCTCCCTGATCCAGGCGCCACTCCCACTAAGTCTACTCTTCTCCATCTGCTCTCTGTGGGATCTGCTCTGACACACTACAGAGGAGGTCACAGGAACTGGGAGGTGCATGCCTACAATGCTTCACCACAGCCTCGTTGCTCTTCTCAAGGTGTTGCATCAGAGTAGTCAGGATTGGTGGGTTTTGTTGACATGAGCACTATATTTGATGCCACAGATTAGTTTTGAAGGGTTGGGTTAGAAGCAAAGGTTTTAAAAAAAATAACTTGAAAAATGAAATGGTCATATTTTAAAATAAAGGCAGGTTAGCTTTTGTCATTTCTTTCTTTGTTGCAGTACTTGCTGAATCACCAATCATATGTTGATAGCTAAGGAAAAAATATGGAATCTAGATTACATCTCGGTACACTCATGCCTCCCAGCTATGTGGAACCCAGGTAGACAAACTTTCCCTAATATCCAAAAGTTGGTAGGCGTGAAATAAAAGATCATCTGTTGCACCTTAGGGGCATCAAAAGTTGTCTTATTAATCTTCTTAACATGACTGTGACAACGCTAATTTATAGATTAAAACATACACATTTGTACTGAGCTCAGGCTGCATACTGCAAATAAATGAAAACTGGCATGGGAATAGAATTATCTACTAAAATCACTGACAGTAAGATGAGGTACTATTCTATATCTGTTTTCAAATGATGTTTCAAAGGCTGTGAATTATATTTATACATTTCAGTATATTTTCTGGGTGAGCAAAATATGCTTATATTCCCTCTCATGGATTTTATACCATAAAGGCAAGCAAAACCAAACCAAATAAAACAAAACCAGTAACCTATCCATAGAGCAGATAAGTTTAACTTAATGAAGAACTTAGGTTCTGGATAAAACTAACTTACTTCGTAAGCCTGGGGGCTGGTTAGGCATCTCGCAATGGGTCCGCAGCAGGCAGGGAGTGTTGTCGTAAGAGGAGGCCCGCTGTGCGTCAGCAGAGGCTTCAGGTAGCTGTGCTGGTTAAGGAAGAGCTGCGTTCCTTTCTTCACAATTTAAAAGAACAATTCACTTGATACGACCACCGTCACAGTGTACCTACCGCTTCAGAGGACAGCAAAGGGCTTTCACACACGTTGCCTCATTTCATCACCACGTTATGTCAGTGAGACAGCAAAGGGGGATTTTATTATTATCTCTATTTCACAGATACGGAAACTGAGGCTCAGAGAAGTCAATGATCCACCTAAAGTCACACAATTAAGTAAACGGAGGACCAATACTTGAACCCAGATTGGTTTGATTCCAAATCCTAGGCCCTTTCCACTACATCATATTGCCTTTCTGATTTTACTAAAACCAAAAGGAAGACAAAATCACTCTCAATTTAGCATTGAAGGAGATATGGAAGAAAGTAAAGCATGGTAACAGTCAGAAAAGAGATTAAATATTCCAGTAGTAGAATATAGTAATAAAGATGGTTTCAATCATTTATTGTGGGATTCAGCTGGCCTCGAATGAATTGAAACTTTAGTATCAAAGGAAATTCAAGCCTAAAAACATTTTTAATAATTATGCATCATCAGTTCCTCTATCATAGACCCTCATTTCAGTATTCATTTATTCTTCAAAAAACAAAAACAGATGTGCTAATATATATGGTACTCAGAAGGAAAAAAGACGGAATCACAAGAAAAGGTAAAGAAAGGAAGAAAGACACATATACATATTCCCCACTTTCTAAAATTACAACCAAAGGTTGTTTTCAATTAAAAATGAGGGGCCGGCCTGGTGGCATAGTGGTTAAGTTCGCGTGCTCCACTTCTGTGGCCTGGGCTTCACAGGTTCGGCGGATCCTGGGTGCAGATCTACACACTGCTTATCGAGCCTTGCTGTAGCACACGTGCCACACATAAAAGCAGAGGAAGATGGGCACGGATGTTAGCCCAGGGTCAATCTTCCTCAGCAAAAAGAGGAGGATTGGCAACAGATGTTAGCTCAGGGCCAATCTTCCTCACCAAAAAAAACTGAGGAAGTCAGAGAGAACTTCATGAATTCCCATATCTATAAATTATAAGTAAAGATTAAAGTACTCTATATAAATTCACTTATGCACTTTATAAAACATCTGGCCACACAAAACTACTGAAAACCTGGAATGATGAATTCTAATAATGCATTGAGTATAGAAACTACCAGGTCTTAGTCTAGTGGTACTTAATAGGGAAGTATTGAGGCTAACAAGTCTTGGTGTTTAACTCTATAAGAACAAATTCCTTAAAAACCAAAACTTACCAAACTTTGACAAAAGGAAAAAGAAAAGAAAATCTGAACAGTCTTATATCTATTGAAGAAATTAAAAACCTCCTTCCTTATACAAAACACTCTAGGCCCAGGTAGCTTCACTGGTAAAATCTTCCCAGTACTTAAGGAAGAAATAACACCAATCCTCCAGAAAATAGAAAAAGAAAAATTTTTCCCCATGAATTTTATAAAGCCAGCATAATCTTGTTATAGAAACTTGACAAGGACATTGCAAGAAAAAAAAAATCACAAACCCATATCTCTCATGAAAACAGACTCAAAAATCAGACACAAAATTTTAACGAATTAAATCCAATGACATACACAAAGGATAACACATCATGACCAAGTGGGATTTGTTCCAGCAATGCAAGATTGGTTTAACATTCAATGAAAATCAGCACAATAACAGATTAAAGGAGAAAAAAAATAAACACATGATCATCTCAATTGACGCAAAGCGTCTGATAATATTCAACACCTGTTCATGATAAAAACTCCCAGTAGACTAGAAATAGAAGGGAATATTCTTAACTAGATAAAAGATATCTCAAAAACCTACAGCTAACATCATACTGAATGGTGAAATATTGAAAAATTTCCCCCTAAGGTCAGGAATAAGACAAGAATGTTCACTATCATCACTTAGATTCAACATTGTACTGGAGAGGTCCAGCCAGTGTAATGAGACATAAAAAAATAAATATAAGGTATTGGAAAAGAATAAATAAAATGTTACTATTCACTTGATTGTATGTACAGAAAATAAAAAAAAAATCTACAAACTATTAGAACTAGTTAAAGTGAACTTAACCAGATTACTGGATACGTGGTCAATATTTAAATATCCAATTGTATATCTATATATTAAGAGTAAACAAGTAGAAAATAAACTAAATACTATTTGCAATAGCATCAAAAATATCAAATACTTAGGGATAAATATAACGAAAGATGTGCGAGACTTGTCACTGAAAACTATAAAACATTAATGAAGAAATTAAAGAAGATCTAAATAAATGGAGGGATATACTATGTTCATGGATCAGAAGACTCAATATAATTAAGATGTCAGTTCTCTTCAAATTCATCTGTAGATTTAATACAAACCCAATAAAATTGCCAGTGGGTTGTGTGTGTGTGTGTGTGTGTGTGTGCAAAATGACAAGCTGTTTCTAAAATTTAGATGAAAGCGCAATGGACCTAAAATAGCCAAGGCAATACTAAAGAATAACAAACCTGTAGGATTTCCCCTATTGAACAGTGAAACTTATTACAAAGAACAATCATTAGGAGTGTGGTATTGATGTAAAAATAGACAATCAGAAAAGAGAGTCCAGAAACAGTCCCCCACTTATATGGCCAAGTGATTTACAACAAAGGCTCCATTGTAATTCAGTGGGCTAAGGATGGTATTTTCAACAAATGGTGCTGTCAATTGAATACTCATATGGAAAAAAGTAAGTCTTGACCCATATCTCACACCATACACAAAAATTAATTTGTGATGGAGTGAAGACTTAAATGTGATAGCTAAAACACTCACACTTTTAGAAGAAAACCTCGTAAAATATCTTCATGACCTTGGGATATAAAAGATTTCTTAAGACACAAAAAGTACTAACCATAAAAGAAAAGATTAAAAAAACAAACCTCAATAAAATGAAGAATTTCTGTTCCTCAAAAGACAAGATTAATAAAACTAAATGGTGAGCCAGCCCTGATGGCCTAATGGTTAAAGTTCGGCGCTCTCACCACTTTGGTGGCCCAGGTTTGCTTCCCAGTCATGGAACCACACCACCTGTCTGTCAGTTGCCATGCTGTGGCGGTGGCTCACATAGAAGAATCAGAATGACTTACAACTAGCATATACAACTATTTACTGGGGCGTTAGGGAGGAAAAAAAAAGAAAACTAAATGGTGAGCTACAGATTGGGAGAAGATATTCACAATACATAACACCAACAAAGAACCCAATTCAGGACTATAGAAAGAACTACAAGTCAATATGAAAAAGACAAAAGACAACTCAATTAAATAATGGGCAAAAGAACTGAACAGACACACTTCATCAAAGAGGATATCCAAATGGCCAATAAACATATGAAAGGATGCTTGACCTCACCAGGCATCAGAGAAATGCAAATTAAACCACATGAGATATCACTACACACTCATTGAAATGGCTAAAATTTAAAAGGCAGACAAAGACCAAGTTTTGATGGAGATGTGGAACAACTGGAAGTCCCTTAACTTGCCAGTGGGGGTGTAAATCAGTTACAACCACTCTGGAAAACTGGCAACAGACACTTGCTCTCAATTCCACTCCTAGGTATGTACCCAAGAGAAATGAGTGCCTATGTTCACCAAAAGATGTATACACAAATATTTAGGTTTATTTGTAATAGCCAAGAGCTGGAAACAACCCAAATGTTTATCAAAAGTAGAATGGTTGAGGAAAAAAAAAAAAAAACCCTGTACTATGTATTCATACTATGGAACACTGCACAGCAATGAAAAAGGATGAATTACTGGTACAGGCAACAATATGGACAAATTACACAATGTTGAGCGAAAGAAGCAAGACATAAAATAATATGTAATATATGATTCCATTTATATGAAGATCAAAAACTGGTAAAACTAATCCATGTTGCTAGAAATCAGAATAGTGGTTGCTCTTTTGGGAGGAGGACGGGGAAGGTATTACTGACTGCAAGAGAACACAGTGTGCCTTCTAGGGTGCTGGAAATGTTCCATGTGTCTTTATATGGGTGGCAGGCACACAGGTGTATACATAGGTCAAAACTCATCAAGCTGTACACTTAAGATTTGTGCACATTACTGTATTTAAGTTATATCTCAATTATAACGAACAATCTGGCTACACAAAGGAACTGAAATCTAGAATGATGAATGATTCATCTACTAGAGTACTAACTATTAAAATGACCAAGTCTTAGTCTAGTAGTACTTAATAGGGTAGGACTGAGTCAACAAGTCTTGGTGCTTGCTTCTATAAGAATACACAGAAAAATAAGCTATCATTCTACTCTTTCTCTACATCAGGATCATTTAATTGTTTTGTATATTATGGAGAAAATGTGTAAAACATTTTATGCAAGAAACACTAAACAATTTTTGTTAAATCAGAGGGATGAAAAAGCCCCAAGAGATATGGGAGTGGCTTTTACCCAAAATGCTGATAATGGAGCCAAAAGTAATGGCATAATCATTAAACAACTTTAAAGAGCTAGGATCTGTCTCACTAATGGGAGTCTTAATACCACAGATATGCTTGCATGCTTGTTTCCATACAGTAATTTAATTTTGAGTACTTGCAAAAAGTGAATGTAAAACTCTAGCAAACAGAATGTAATAAACAGCAGCTTCTAATGATAAGTGTCAAGTGTATTTTTCTTAAATATACAAGGCTTTGATCAGAAAGTTGAAAGTAAGGAAAAATTTTTACATGGTTGTCCCAAATGTGCTTCAGTGCAATATAAACCAGGTTTTGATTCTTTTACTGGTAAGTCTCAGCCCGAAAGAACTCCATGGTCCCTTCTTCTAGTTCTATTTTCAAATAATAAATTCATTTTAATAAATAGTGAGTGATAAAATGTTTTTTAAAAGGCATGATTTAAACAGGTTATAGAATATAACATGACCCAAAGTATAGCCATGAAGAAGACTGTTACAATATGACAAGAAAGAAACAAGGAAAATTGGCATCTGAACAGAGAGGAGAATCTCCCAGTCTTTGGAAAGGTCAGAGAAAAGAGGCCTATCCCTGACTACTGCAGTATCTAACAGGACTGTTCTCTTATCTCCTTCTCATGCTTTTTCCTAAGGCAGCCTTTCCTCTTTTACCCTAGCAAGTACACTGACAAGAACCAACAAATACCTTCTGTAGGATTCACTAAATTAGCTAAAGGACAATAAATATTAAAGTTTGCTATAAATAAACCTACATATCAAAGACAGTCTATCGTAAAGGCTTCTGAGGCCCTTCATACAGCCAGCTTCTGCAATCACTAGTCCCTACCAGTTTCATGGGTTTTCAGAGGAATTCGTTTGCCTGGGTTTCCTTTAATAACTTTCTCCACTACACTGAAGGGAAAGGGAAGACCAAAGGTAGGTTTTATAATCCACTTCAGGAAGGGAGTGGTCAAAACTGCTGTTTCATTTAACTGTAATTGTCGATGTCCATACTGCCATTTTTTTCTCAATTAAGGATACTTATGATCAAAGTTGTACCACATCCGGAAGAGCCAGGCACTCTCTGCTTTGGTAGTTCTTCTCTCATTTTCAGGAATACTCTGCAAACATATAATAAAGTCAATACATACACAAAGATCAAAACACATTTACTTAGAGTCATTTCTTTGTAGAACTGGAAATACAGCCTACTACGTATGAGATACTCTCCAATATGGGTAACGTTAGAAATTTAATAGCTTGTATATTGTAGCTTTGGAATAAGAAATTGGAATGTTTTTCTGAAAACCTCTATTACTCAGGCTGCTTGCTGATTTATGAATCTACTGTTATTTAAAAAATCAATGTGGAATAATTCACCCCCTAAATCTGAAAGACTTACACCCACAATGTGAATGGCACCTTAATCAGAAAACATCACATTGACATCCCTATCTGTGGGAGTTGTCATGGGTCCCAAAAGTAACTGGCATTTTCAAAGTTGCTACTATGTTCTTAGAACACTAGCAAAATGAAAGCAAGTAGGGAAATTCCACAGTAAGCCTGACTGGCTAGGAGGGAAAACTCACATAGCAAGCGGGCCTCTTTGAAAATAGCTTCCAAAAACAGAAACAGGGTCCTTATTTGTGATATGGTGCGGTCAGCAGTGGGGCAGTTAGGCGATCTGGTTCATCTCAGCTCAAACATGAACTAGTTGGGCAAGTCCCTTTTCCTCTATGGGCCTGAATTTCTTCATGTATACCACGTGAGGGTTAGAGATTCTCGAAGGCCCTTTCTAGCAAGAATGTTCTATGCTTCCATGATTTTCGAGGAGCATAGAGTTTAGATTCTGGGTTTTGGTTCCTTCCTGTCTTTCCTGATCCTCGTAATAAATGAATGTTCCTCTCAACATGTATCAAAACATATACAATATAAAAATGTTTGAGAATACTGTATGGGCTTACAAGAGCCAAAAAATGCCTGTATGGCCTTTCACATCAGTATGCACAGGTTTGTGTGTCTCCATTTTTTGAAGAGCAATTAATCTATAAATCTCCTGATCCCCTCACCACATAAACACCTGTACGCCCAACTTCCACACACTCTACACTTATTATAACGGTCCTCTGTGCTCCCCAGCGAACACTCAAAATACTGAGTAAACAATATAACAAACCAAGACATCCATAGGGTTTCGAGGGCAAGGGAAAAACGGTATTTTTTCCTGTATATCACAGCTGGCAGTCATCTACCTGGCTCTGTCCCTGTCACTCCACTTCCATTTCTCCTCTGTGGTGACAGAGGTAATGTGGCAGGTGGAGACTTATGCAGATGGTGATCAAGCATTTGTCTGCTGAGCTGGATGAGAACTTTATTCTTGTTTGGACATGGGGGTGGAGGCATTGGGGAACTATGACCCCTTGGAAACTACCCCAGCAGCTCGGAATCATGAGAATTTATCCAGCTTGATTTGTACAAGTATTTATAATGGAATTATACTTTAAGGTTCTGACCGCAAAAGAGGCAAGTACTTACTATATCACATATACACTCATCACTCAACAGCTAACGAAATTAACATCTCGGAAATGAATCTGATAAATGTTTTTTTTTGAACCACACCCTGAAGACAAACAGACCAGGGTTTGTTTCAGACAAGAAAAAGAATTGTGTTTTGAAAGAGATATTTTCATCTTCAAAAACCTAAATTCTGTGATTTCCCATCTAATGTCCAGGACAGAGTCACATATTCAGTGGTGCTCAGAAACCATTAAAAAGCGGATGGAAAATACCAGAGAAGGGTGCTCAGTCTAGAAAAGGCACTGAGTTACACTGCACTTAGTCTACCAGGCTCAGGTTCAGAGGAACAACCGAGAATGTGACACATGGAAATAGCAAGGAAATGGCGCAAGGTTGAGGCACGGGGTAAGAAAGGGTACTCTCCTGAGCAGGCACAGAGGACTGGCTGAAGATTCTAAAGCTTCTAGGCAGTTCTCAAGGGCAGCTGCTGGCCATCCAATTTGAAAGTTACACAGGAAGAGCAGCTGGAGTGGGACTTACATCAGAGACAAGGCTTCATGCACAAACCCAAGTGGAAAAAGGCTCCGTGTGCCAGAGCAGTCACTTGAAAACCCAGGAGCGCTTAAGGGACTGCTCTCCTCTGTGGAGAGCCCAGGTTGGCCCACAGATATGAGAGCTGTCACCCTTGATAACCACACGCTGTCTAAAATTTGGTTTTGTCTCTATCGACCAGTGAGAAAAGCCAGGAATGACGTCAGTTAAAAGCTGATGCAAATAGGACAGGATCTAAATAATAGTGGCATGAAGTCTACAGAAGATTGTTTTCTTTCCAAACAACTGCACACTCGACAGAAATGCCAGAGACGACACAAATGCATATTTACCAAATGTTCTTGGTCTGAATCAACACCAACCCTAAAGGAGAAACACAAAAGGCAAATGAGATCTTGAAGCCAAAAAAAAGGTCTATTCACATACATACACATTGTCAGGCAACTACTTTTCTCAACACAGAAGCTACAGAATGGTTAATGTTTTGTCGCTTCTCTATGGTTGTTGATGTAGATTTTTGGTTCCTGCCACATTCCTTAGCAACAGCTTGGCTCCTAAGGCAAGCAGAGTCTACGGATTCTCTTCCTGCAATCCCATTGACCAGTTTCAGAAAAAAAAATCATTTCTTCTCTGACTATAAGTCCACTGTAAGCAGAGTCGGGGAAAGGAGCATCGCCCCCGTTGCTGAATGAGAATTACTGGGTAGTTCCAAAAACAAGGCTGGCACAATGCAGTTCCAGGAGGGAGGTGCATGTTTTCAGCTCTCATGGCAACATTCTGTTATGACGACTGAAGAGAGGGTCCAATTACAGTCTTTTTCATAGGCTAATGGATAGACATTAGCCTTGGTTCTTCAGAATTCTTTTTCATCTGCTTAAAATTCCTGCTTCCCGTACCACAGGGAATGGCTTCATTATGAAGAAGTTCTCTTGGACTCCTCTCCATCTCCTCAACACGAGCACTCACCAACTCTGCTAATTCTTTTTCTAAACTGTCTCTCAGACCTTCTCTCCTTTCCATTCCAACTGCTCAAGCTCAGGCCTTACTCTGACTCATGGGGTCTGTAGCAACTGGCTGTAAGGTTTTCCGGCTGCCAGGATCTCCCCTAGATTTAACTGTCAAAAGCATAGAACTCACTAGGTTATTCCCTTGACAAAAGACTCAGAGGGCGGCTTACAACCCAGGGGGTCATGTCTAAAGTCCTTTGTGTGGCATTCAAGACTCTTTACAAACTAGCAACCCCCACACTCCAACCTACCTTTCCCCTCATTCTCTCCTACCTTCTCTACATTAGCCATACTCCACTACTCCTCTCCCCAAATCCCTGTCCTCTCCCGAGCCTCCAAGCCTTTGCTCATGTTGTTCCCTCTATCTGAAATGCACTGTCCCTCATTTTTTTCCTACTCCTTCTTTGGGTTCCATATGAACCATTCTATGACCCCTTTAGGCAGAATCATTTTTTCCTCTGTGCTTTTACAGCATTTTCTAGAGTCCTCTATTATAATACTTAGCACAGTCCAGTTATTTACCTGTCAGTCTCCCCAAATAGACTGTGAGCTCCTTGAGGGTAAAGGCCATCTCAAGTCATCTCTGTATCCCCAGAGTCTAGCACAGTACCTGATACACAATAGGTGCTCAAATGTTTATCGATTAAGGTCCCTACTACAGACAGCACAGGAAACATAGCAGTGTGAGAAGCTGTAGCAGTAGCATCCCTGAATACGAATAACACCGAAGGGAGGAAAAATGATGCAAGACCTCATCTAGAAGGCAAGTGAATCATGGTCAAGTACTTGAAAACACATGGCCACGACCAGATTCATAATTCAAAGAAAGGCTCATTTCTTCTTCATTAAAATGGCCAGAAGCTGTTTGCTATCTTAGCCATATTAAACTCTAACCACATTTGTGCATCTAAAGTGACATCTAGTGGTCTTGGAGATAGCACATTTGTAATACGCAGATGGAACATTATGGGAAGCCAATTCCATGTAATAAACATTTATAGAGCACTTATTATCCATCAGGCACTGCACTAGGCAGAGGATATAGACATGAATCAGACACGGTCCTGCCCTCAAGGGGCTCACAGACCAGTGAGGGAGACAGACATAACTAGAACGTAATCCCCAAGGGCTTTGCAATCAGGGAGAGTTGGGTTCCAATCTGGCCTCAGCTCCATTCTAGCTATGTGAACTCAGTCAAGTTATGCAGCCCTATGAACTGTAATTGTATCACCAGGAAAATATCCACCACACAGAGTTGCTAGCAAGAATTAAATGAGAAAACGTATCTAAAGATTTTAAAAGAGTGTCTGATACATCATTAACATTCGCTAAATGGTAGCTCTTATAACAATATTATTATTACAAGGCTGATTGAAATAAGTATTGTAGTAGAGATACTCAAGGTTAAGCAAACAGAAGAGTGGTTCCAATAAAAAAGAAGAGGGCAAAAAGGAGGCAGCATTTGAGCTGTGTCATTTCCTGGGACTGAAAGAGAATTTTAGGCAGAAGAAATGGTATGAGCAAAGGCTCGGAGATGGAGAAATGCAAAGTATGTGTGGTAAATGACAGGGAGCCAAATGTGACTGTCACAAACTATGTGAAAGGACGTAGGAATAGCTGGCTGGCTCTAACTCACTGAGGATCCATTGTCCACACCACAGCTGGAATGATCCTTTTACAGTGTAAAATAGACCACGTCACTCCCTTGCTTTAAAATCCTACAAGATTTCCAACTGGATTTTAAAATCCAAACTCCTTACCATGTCCTACAAGATCTGATAGCAGGGGTCCACCAACTACAGCCCACAGGTCACACCCAGGGCATCTCCTGTTTTTGTGAATAAAGTCTTGCTGGAACACATGCACACCACCTGATTTACATATTGTCTCTGGGAGCTTTCACACTAGAGTTGAATAGTTGAGACAGAGACCATACGGCCTTCAAAGCATAAAATATTTACTATCTGGCCCTTTAGAGGACACGTTTGCCAACCACTGCCCCATAGGATCTTGCACACCACCTCATTTCCTACCTATCCTTCCATCACTAATTTCCAGCTACAGAGGCTTTTTTCTGTTCATTAAACAGGCTAAGTTTGTTCCTGCCTCAGGGCCTTTGCACATGCTTTCCCCTCTGCCTGGACTGCTTTTCTTCCTGCTCACTGTTTAACTGGCAATATCTTGTCATTCAGGTAGACTGAGCTCAAATGTAACCTTAGAGAGACCTTTCCTGACCTCTGCCTATAAAATACACTCTATCCCCAGTCACCACCACAGTACCTTGTTTGTCATCAGAGCATTTACTATCATCTAAAATTGTCATCTTCATTTGTTTACTAGTTTATTGTCTGTCTTCTCCCATTAAAGTACAGATTTTATGAGACGAGGGATCTTTTCTATCTTATTACTACCACCGCATCTCTCTAGAGTAGGGTCTCTTAACCTTCACATTACTGACATATGGACCCAGATCATTCTTTGTCATTGGGGGGAGGGGGGGCGCTGCTCTGTGCACTGTAGGATGTTTAGCAGCATCCTTGGCCTCTGCCAACTAGACGCCAGTAGCAGCCTCCTCTCTTTGATTGTGACAATCAAAAATGTCTCCAGACACTGCCAAATGTCCCTTGGCAGGGGCAAAATCACCCCCTGTTGAGAACCACTAAGTTAGAGCTTAAAACAGTTCCTGTCACGTAGTGGGTGCTCAATCAGTATTTATCAAAGGAAAGAATAAAAGGCATATTTGAAACGCTGTGCTAAGAGCTTTACAGACATTAGCTCACTGAATCCTTACAACAACACTAGGAGGTAGGTACGATCAAACACACGTCACAAATGAGGAAACCGAGGCTTAAAAAAGTTAAAGAACTTGCTCAAGATCACAGAATCAGTAAATGAAGGAGCAAGAATGCAAAGTCAAGTCTAAGTCTGCATGAATCTTAAACTTTAAGGACTCATCAGCATCCTCAAGATTGTACTAGACAAATTTGGGGGGAGGGAAGAGAAATTAAATCCCAGCCTCTGGGGCCGGCCCGGTGGCTTAGCGGTTAAGTGCGCACGCTCCGCTGCTGGCAGCCTGGGTTCGGATCCCAGGTGCGCACCGACGCACCGCTTCTCTGGCCATGCTGAGGCCGCGTCCCACATACAGCAACTAGAAGGATGTGCAACTATGACATACAACTATCTACTGGGGCTTTGGAGAAAAAAAAAATCCCAGCCTCTGTTTGCAAAGAGGCCCCAAACCCCCAAATAACAACAAAAACAACAAAAATTATCCTAAGACTGTAAGGTAACATATATATATAATTAAATGCCAAACCATGCTACAGGGCAGGCAAGACGGGGCCAAAGAACTTGCAAGCTGGTGAGGCGGATTCAACTTTATGTAAATAGGTTTGTTTTTTTTTTGGGGGGGGGTGCTGATAAGCTTGTGTATTTTATTTTGTTTGGTTTGTGTGGAGGGCAGTTAGGGAAGAGAACTGATCCTTCTTAAAAATTGAGATTCCATTTAAGAGGATTATTTTTCCAAAATTATCTTACATTTAATTTTGTTCTTAGTAGAATAAGGAAGAGTCTTCATTTACAAGCTCTTAAGAAGAGGAAGAAGTTCAATCTTTCCAAAATTCCCACCCTCATTTCTTGATGCAGCACAGTCCAGGAGAAATTGAGACTCGAGGCTTCTCTGTCCACCACTGAACTGTTTGTATGACCTTGAACAACTGAGAAACTTTCTAAGGCTCTATCTCCTCACTTGTAAAATGGAACTACTGTGATTAGATAAATATGTAAAACGCACTTAGCACAATGCCCAGCACATAGTAGGTACTCAACAAATGCCAGGTCCTCCCTGAATTCATAACCAAGGTTATAAGAACATTACTTTTGTGTATTTTCAATTATATACAATAACAGCACAGAAACTGTAAGAAAGGGAATTGAGTAGTAAAGAGAGATAAAGAAATAATAACAACATTCAAAGAGTGTTTAGGGCTGGCTGGTCTTTTAGAATATTAAAAGAAAGGCATAATAGAATGAGAAAAATGGAGAACAGATTCTATAAAATGGGAAATACTGTTTTCTCTAATGAACCCTACACATTCTGGAAGCTCAGTTTCAGAAGTAAAATCTACAAATGCTTTAGCAACAGAGGCTGCTGTATCCATGGAAACAAATGCAGAACTCGAGATACAAAGAAGCTTTCCAATTGAATACATTAACTAGTGTGCATTGAAGACCAAGACCTCACAATCTTGACTTCAGATTGTCAGGTCAGAAACGGTGCTGATCATAAAGATGAGATAGAATGATAAGATCTAGTATCGCAATAAACTGGGCTGTCTCATATGCTGCAGATAGAAGAAAAAATTTTGATTGGATCTGGTGATATGGATCAAAAGCCTTAAATATGTGCATATCCTTTGACCAAGCAATTCCACTTCTAGGAATGCATCCTAAGGAAATAATCAAACAAGTGCACAGTGGTGCCTGCATTTACAAATGTTCACATTGCTAATGGTAATAATAATAGCAAAATCCTCAACTGTTAATGGTAATAACAAAATCCTAGAAACAACACAAAAGTCCAACAGTAGGGATTTGGTTAAACAAATTACGATATATGCAGCCATTAAAATAATGATATTTACTACATAAATGTCCATACTATATTACATTTAAAAGTAAATTTACAAGAGTACCTGTAGTGTTGTCCCTTTTTGTTAAAAATATATATAATGTATAACAAGAGGTCTGGAAAGACATCCCTCAAAATGTTAACAATGGTTTTTACTTTTCTTTTGCATATTTTCCATTTTTTTCCTGTACATTACATATTTTTTAAAGGGAAAAAATGAAACATTATAGATTTATCAAAGCTAAAAATTTTCTCCTGATTAAAAGAAAAGTAACTTGAATTATAATATTAAAATGAGGTCCCCAGTGACTACTTACCTTATATGCAGGCATGACAGCATGGCAGTGGTGCCACCACCAAATACCCACACAGTAAAAAACACAATCAGAAGTGTGGTGCTGAACATCATTTGCCGTGCATAAGTGGCAGTATCTCGAATGGCCAAGGCAAATGCCATTGCACCACGAAGGCCTACAAGGGAATGAAAGAGGTATTTCTTTAATAACTCATTACCAATGTGAGCTTCATAAATTCAAAGAAATAAGGCACATCCTGAGAACTTAGAATCACGTGAAGAAATACATAATACATATTAACATACATAAGTATACACAAATAAATAGAATTAGTAGGTGATACTGACATGCACACATCTTTTAACAATTTTTTGAAATTTATTTTTAAATTTACATACAGTAAAATTTACTCTTTTTGGTGTACAGTTCCATGCTTTGTGACAAATGCATAGAGGTGTGTGACTACTACCACAACCAAGACACAGACCTGTTTTATCATCTCTTCCAAATTCCTTTGTGGGACCTCTTTTTAACCCAACCTCTCCATCACCCTGCCAAACCCTTGGCAACCACTGATCTGTTCTTCACCACTATGCTTTTGACTTTTTGAGAATGTCATATAAATGGAATCACATAGTATGTAAGCTTTTGAGACTGGCTTCTTGTACTCAGCACAATGTGTCTGAGGTTCATCCATGTTGCTGTATCAATAGTTTGTTCTTGTTAGTGCTAAGTAGTATTCCATGGCACGGATGTACCACAGTTCGCTATTCATTCACCCATTGGAAGAAAGACAATTGGGCTGTTTCCAGGTTTTGGCAATTATGAATAGAATTGCCATAAACATTCACATACAGATTTTTTGTGAAAATGCATTAATCTTTATTTTCTCCACCATGTGTGACTATTTCTGAACCAGGAATTTGGAACCAGAACATGAAAAATTTCCCATAGCAGGGAATGGGACACTATAAAAAGAATTTTCTATTGGAGTTTGCAACTTCAATGTTTAAGGGAGTCTTATATTACCAGCATATCATTTCCATTTAAAATCCAGCTGGCATATGGGTTGCAAGTGGTTTCTTGGAGTGGGCAAGAGAGAAAGCTATAACTTACCAGCAAACATCATCATGTGTTGAAAATTTGATCCAATCTTACTTCTTCTACCCAAATTAAGTAAGAGGGACAAGGGGTAAATATTGGCAGCTCTTCCCAAGAAAATAGCAATCTAAAATTATTAATAGGTTAAGGATAATTCTTTTTATTATTAACAATTATTTAGACTATACAGTCAAGATGGTGAAAGGCTATCTTAGAGAGCTCCGTTTCTAACACACAGTCTTTTGATTCCAATGTCCAATGGAACCTTCTGCAACGACAGAAATGTTTTATATCTGCACTGTCCAACACGGTGAGTGCCTGAAATGTGGCTAGTGACTGAGAAACTGAAATTTTCATTTTATTTGATTTTAATTAATTTAAATTTAAATAATCATATGGGGTTAGTTGCTACCAAATTGGACAGTGTAGGTCTGACATATAGGAAATTCATTAGATGAACAGAAACACGTTTAAGAGCAGAGCTTCTTTGGTATAATCTTGAGATTATTAATATAATAGGTTAATTCATTTTAATTGTCAATGTTGGTAGGAGGAAGAGTAACACTGCTTCCTCAGAGCAAAGAAAAGGGCAGCTCAAACACCTCCTACCACTGAAATTCCTGCTAGCCCCGATGTGTTCCTCCGAGCCAATACTTCCACCCTGCTTCAAAGGGCAGGCTTCATGGGAATTCAGAATGGTTTTAACTAGAAACCAATTTTAGCGTCTTTTTCTCCAGATTGCTATCTATAGAGATTCCTGCTTTACAAACACAATTTTTATTTCAGGGGTTACAATATAGTCCCCGCCCCATTTTCTGAAAGGAATATAAAGGAAAATATAAGATTAAAAACAAAACAAGGCGGAGGAAACAGTGCTGACTGGTGGAGTCTGTGAGACTAAAGGCAAAAGGAACTGCACATAAGCACCACATGCTCATTGATCAAGTGGTTTCCCATGGGACTACTGGTTAACAAGTCTGATACTGCTGTGTATGCTGGGACTGAACAATTAAGTAAATGGATGGTGGATGGTGGGAACCAGGTTTCTCTGTGTTGGAATGGGAGTTCACAGATCAGCAAGGGGAGGAGGCTAGAATGATCCATATGGTAATGGATTAGAGTTGGAGACATCCATATGAACTCATGTTTAGCTTAACAGAGATACAGACGGTTACATACATGAATATTTACTTTGTACATATGTACACACACACACATACAGGAACTAGTATATACATATATATATATGTCCTTGCTCTGTCAGCTGAGAGGGCCTGGAAGCAAGGACACCCTAGCAGTACTGAGTACACCTAGAGCCCAGATGTTGGTTGCTAATACCATTCCCCAATAAAAGGAACCAGGGCTCCTTGGAGAAATGGCTGATTCTAGGGCTGGGGAAGAAAATATACAGGATGAGCCTGAAGTATCTTGCAGTTCCAGAAAGTAAGGAAGTGCTCAAAAAAATTCAAGAAACACAATGACAGGGGTACATCAAAGGGACACAGGAGCCCACTGAAAGAGCTTCCAATGGCCAAAGCTGGAACAGTTTGAGCAACAAAATTTAAAAAGTAGTACTGTATTATAACCCAAAGTATAAAATAAATATCAGTGAGTCCATACTGATATAAATAAGTGACAGGTTAAAATAATAAATGGGGCAAAATAGAGAACTCTCCTGTGCAATGAATTCCAAATAATTCTGTAGAAACTCTGTCCTCGAGGAGATGGAACCTAACTCCCCACTCCCTAAGTGTGGGCTCCCTGCAGTGACTCCCTTCCAAGCAGCACAATATAGAAAAAAGGAAAAACGAGTAACTTTACAATGGAGCAACCTGACAAATTACTATTTTGGCCAAGTGATTAAGACTAACACCAACATTATTAACATGCTAATAAGTATGTACCCTTGATATGATGTGATGAGACTGGCAATTTACTTCTGTGGTCTTCCTCCCAGTGCATACACAATCCCAGTCTAATCATGGGGAAAACATCAGACAAATTCCAATTGTGGGACATTCTGCAAAACATCTGACCAGTACCCCCTCAAAACTGTCAAGGGTCATCAAAAACAAAGAACATCTGAGAAATTGTCACAGTCAACCGGAACCTAAGGAGGCGTGACAACAAAATGAAATGTGGTATCTTGGATAGGATCTTAGACAAGAAAAAGGACATTAGGGGAAAACTCTGGGGATCTGAATAAAGTATGAACTTCAGTTAATAATAATGTATCATGGGGCTGGCCCAGTGGCATAGCGGTTAAGTGCGTGCACTCCACTGCGGCGGCCCAGGGTTCAGATCCCGGGTGCGCACCGACGCACTGCTTGTCAGGCCATGCTGTGGCGGAGTCCCATACAAAGTGGAGGAAGATGTGCACAGATGTTAGCCCAGGGCCAGTCTTCCTCAGCAAAAAAAAGAGGAGGATCGGCAGATGTTAGCTCAGGGCTGATCTTCCTCACAAAAACAAACAAACAAAAACAAACAAACAAAAAATAATGTATCAATATTGGTTCATTAATTGTGACAAGCATATCATGCTAATGTAAGATGTTAATAACGGGAAACTGGGTGTGGGGTATATGAGAACTTTCTGTATTATCTTCTCAATTTTTCTGCAAATCTAAAACTACTTTAGAATACAAAGGTTATTAAAAATAGTGATTCCCTGAAAGAAAAACAAAAGAAAACAAAATAATAAAAACAAAACATGTGGGCCGATGTGGCAGCGACTGCTAGTTATATCCCCAACATCTATTCTTCCCTTACTCTATGGTAGTGGACACTCCTCCCTCTCATCTCCAGTTTTCATTTGAGTACATAGCCACCTAGATAAAGAATAGAATTCCCAGCCTCCCTGGCAGGTAGGTGTAACCAACGCATGTTAAGTAGAAGTGATGTGTGCATATTCTGGATCGTGTATTTAAAGGGAATTGGCAGACATGCCGGTGAGCCATCTTGGACCCTAAGAACAAGGGAAACTCTCCAGGGATGGTTGTAACAAGGTTGCTTGGGTCCCTGATGACTGTGGAGCAGAGTTGCCACACCAGTTCAGACTTCTGCATGAGAAAGAAACTTCTATCTTGTTTAAAATTTGGTTAATTTGGGTCATTGTCACATGAAACCAAACCTACATCCTACCTAATATAGCCAGCAAGAGAACAACTCTCGCCTGGTAAGAGTCAATTTTCATGGTAGGATTTTGTATTGAGGAACTTCAATTCCTACCAGACTCAGAAACCTATAGAGAATATTTTGCCTTGTTTCTGGATAAGAATAGTGGATCAAGCCACCTGACTGCTCAAAAACTTCTCAAAGACTAGCAGGATATGAAGTTACTGATCTCATGGGAGATTTCCAGCTAAGGTTTTTCTCTTATTAATAGGGCTTTATCTTTTTTGCCTGAAGCTCATTCCCAGAAGACTAAGACTCTGCAGAATGGCATTTCAGTAATACCTCACTTTCTCACAGAGATCCTACTTAGAGTTTTAATTAAAAAAATATTTCTGCTAATCTCTTTGGCAGAATCTTCATTTTAAGGTGGTTTTCTAAATATTTCTTTTGAAAATCACTAATTCAAGCATCTCGCTGTCTGATCACCATCTCTCCTTCCACGTTTCGCGTTCATCTAGCCCACTCAGACCGTTCTTCTCCCTCATGGGGCCTCCAATCCAAAGACCCCTCTACTTTTCCCTCAAAGAGTCCTTCCCCTTCTTCACTTCCCTTCTTAGCCACACCTTAGTAATACTCTTCCCAATACCCTCCATTCACTTGCCCCTCTCTGTGTTTTTACTGCATCCACTTGACATAACCCCAAATCCAGAGAGACCCAACTCGCTTTTTCTCCACACTTACAGCTAAGTACTCCTGAACAATGTCATACAATGGGGCAGACTGATTCTACTGTTAATACCTATTCCTCAAACTCAAATGGCTCTCTAATACTGCTCAGCAATCCTACTGTGTATTTTTGGTCAACTCACTCTTCCACTCTCTACAATAACTGTTTCCAAACCTTCTCCTCAAAACTCCTATCACCTGTAGAAGCCAGCCTCCAAGATGGTTCTCAATGATCCCTGACCCCTAGTATTCACATCTTGGTGTAGTCCCTGCTCACACTGTACCAGGGTCCATCTGTGTGACCAATAGAATATGGCAGAAGGGGGCCGGCCGGTGGTGCAAGCGGTTAGGTGTGCATGCTCCGCTGCGGCGGCCCGGGGTTCGCCGGTTTGGATCCCAGGCATGCACTGACGCACCGCTTGTCAAGCCATGCTGTGGCGGCATCCCATATAAAGAGGAGGAAGATGGGTGCGGATGTTAGCCCAGGGCCAGTCTTCCTCAGCAAAAAAAGAGGAGGATTGGTATCAGATGTTAGCTCAGGGCTGATCGCCTCACAAAAAAAAAAAAAAAAAAACGAATATGGCGAAGGAATAATGGTATGTCACTTCCAAGATTAGGTTATAAAAGGCACGTCGGCTTCCATCTTGGTGCTCTCTCAGCTCACTCCCTCTGGGGAAAGCTATGTTGTGAGCTGCCCCATGCAGAGGTCCACATGGAGAAAAACTAAAGCCTCCAGCTAACAGCCATGTGAGTAGTGTAGGGTGGATCCTCCAGACCCAGTCAAGTCTTGAGAGAGTATAGTCCCAGCCCAGAGCATGACTGCAACCTCAGGAGAGATTCTTGAGCATCCAGCTAAGTTGTTCCTGGATTCCTGACCCTCAGAAACTGTGTGAGATAATACATGCTTGTTGTTTTAAGCTGTTAAATAGGGTAATTTGTTACACAATAGATAACTGATAGGCCACCTGTTTGTATCTCAGTCTCAGCAGACGTCTCATCTCCTACTTGACAGATAAAAATAGAAGTTATCAGACAGGAACACCATCTTGCAAATGTCCCTTCATCTCTACACACCCTGTCCTCTCTTGGAACAATGGTGGAGCTGTGCCTCCTCCCACTGAAGGCCAATCCCTCCCCACATGCTTTGGATTCCATCTCCTCCTGCCTTCTCATGAGGCTGGCACTATTGATGGCCGCTCTTTCATGTAATCAACTTCTCCCTTTTAACTGGATTTTCAACTCAACAAGACACTGAGACAGAGAGAGAGAGAAAAGCAGCCTCCTTCAGCCTTTCATCATCTTTCAACTACTGGCCTGTGGCACAGACTGCAAACTCTTCTCCAGTATCTACTCTCTCTTTCTTCCCTTTAGTAATAGAGGACAAACAATTTTATCTTTTGGGTTGGCAGAGTGGTAGAAGACTTTTTTCTGTCATTTCACTCTATCAGGATTATTTGTGCAATAAACAAAAAAGGAAAATAGAATAGAATAGAAAAAAGAGTTGAAATTCTTATTTGTTTTACTCAGAGGAAATCTTTATATACTTAAATGTATTCTTATCAACCACACCTCCAAAAAACATGAAAATCTCAATAATAACTTTTCAAAATAAAACACATAATAAAGGATACAAATGCTCCTACTACAAATGTTGGATTAAAGACATGGTTCTGGAAGGTGAACAGCGTCAGCCCCATGTAGGAGAAGATGAAATTCTCTGCCAAGAAATTGAGAAGCTCAAACAACTGAAACGAAATTTTAAAAGGTTAGTCCAGTAAATAAAGTCACACAATTTGAAAACATGACTATTACTAAGATAATGAAACACTTTAAACATGTAAAGTTCATGTAAATCCCCAAAAATATGTGATTCAGAGGGGAGTAAATGTAGAGATGACATTTCTAGTCCCACAGAAAAAGCCAGGAATGTTGCTTCACCTCTTCCCGCAATCAGCTTCCCTTCTCCAATCCCTATATTCAGTCATTCTCCTCTTCCTCCACCAAATCCTCTCCATTTTTCTTTTGGAATGTTCCTTGTTGTCCCTGCCACTGTCTTAGTCTAGCTTTCATCACTTCCCACCCATAATGCTGCAAAAGGACCCTAACTGTATCCCTGCCACCCCCATCTTCCACACCACCACCCAATGCATCTCTCTAAATACGGCAGTTTCAAGACATTTCCCTCTTTGCAGGCTGTAAGATCCAGTTCAAATACTTTTGTCCTGGCACAGAATGCTTCACGAGAACTCTCATATCACTGCCTTGCCATGCGATTTCACTGTTTACGTGGGTCTCAGCTCTCGTTTAGGGAGTAAGGCCTTATGCATTATAGTCGCGTGCTCTGTACCCTCCCCTGCTGCCTGCCCACCCCCCACCTGTTCATGTCACGGCATCACTGCCTCCTCAAGTGTTACTAACAGAGCAGGGATCCAAGACTTGCTGAATGAATGAATTCAAGGCCTTCCATAGTTTGGCATCCCTCTGTCCATCACAGTTATCTACCACTGCTCTTTAACACGAGTCCTCTGCCCCACAAAACAGGGTAGCGGTGAAGTCACAACATGAGCTCAGGAGTCAGAATGGCTCGGCTTTGAATCCTGCCTTCTCCACCTGCTAGCTGTGTGGCTTTGGGCAAGTTAGTTAATCTTTCTAACCTGGGGTTGCCTTATTACTGAGAAATGTGAATAAAAATTTAAATAAATAAGTATATATTTAATTAACATTAAATGATTTAATATACTATTATGATGACTTTTTGTTTAATGATAATAGCTAAACTTTATCCAGTTTTTACTACGTGCCCAAAACTATGCTAAAGACTTTACACGCATTATCTCGTTTTAATCTCACAACAACTGTGTGAGGTATGTACTATTATTATCCTCATTTTAAAGATGACAAAACTGAAGCAAAGAGAAGTTATGTAACTTGCCCCCAGTCACACAGCCAGCAAGTAGTGGAACCAGGATTTGGAACGACACTGACTCCAGAGTCCCTGCTTTAATCCACAACCCCGGGGGTCAGCAAACTTTTACTGTGAAGGGCCAGAGAGCAAATATTTGAGGCTTTGTGGTCCATGTGGTCCCTGTCATAACCACTCAACTCGGTGGATGTAGCACAAAAGCAGCCACAGGTTATACATTAAAAAATGGGTGTGGCTGTGTGTCAATAAAACTTTATTGATGGACACTGAAATCCAAATTTCTTTCTTTTTTTTTTTGTGAGGAAGATCAGCCCTGAGCTAACATCCATGCTAATCCTCCTCTTCTTTTTGCTGAGGAAGACCGGCTCTGAGCTAACATCTATTGCTAATCCTCCTCCTTTTTTTTCCCCAAAGCCCCAGTAGATAGTTGTATGTTATAGTTGCACATCCTTCTAGTTGCTGTATGTGGGACGCGGCCTCAGCATGGCCGGAGAAGTGGTGCGTCGGTGCACGCCCGGGATCCGAACCCGGGCCGCCAGTAGCAGAGTGTGTGCACTTAACCGCTAAGCCACGGGGTTGGCCCTGAAATCTGAATTTCATGTAACTTTCATGTGTCACAAAATATTCTTCTTTTGATTTGTTTCCAATCATTTAGCCATGTAAAAACCATCCTTAGCGGACATACCTTACAGGAAGCCCTGGCCTTTGTTTGCCAACCCTTGCTCTACGCGTCCCTGCCATCTATTACCAGATGTTTGCTACCTTCTCTTCTCGATTTTACTGGTATTGGTTCCCCTAGGCTTTTCTGAATCCTCCCCATCTCTCTAGGCTCACCACTTCCTCTAGATTGCTTTCCAGCTCCTCAAGCCTCAACTGCTTCCCCGCTTCTCTGACCTCTTATATGACATATAATCTGAAACACACAATCTAGAAGTTCTATTAGTCTGTTTTTTTCATGTATACAAGCTTCATATCACCAACAAGACTGGAAACTCCTACCTTGTTTATTTTATTCCCCACACTACTGTCTAGAAAAATGCCAAATCCTTTAGCTGATTTTCTTCTCTACACTTATTGCACTGAATTAATCTGTAAAAGTGATTTGTAACTCCAACGTATATGCTTGGGGGAAAAAATGCCTAATCTCTTTTGAGAGGTAGGGAAAAAGCATAGGCCATACACTAAATTTGTGGCACCGGAAGAAAGAGGAAAAGAAAAAGTACCTTTGCTCCTGCTTTATCATGAGTCCTTTCCAGGCTAATCTCACTATGTTCTAATCATTTGGCAAAACTGAAAGCTTCTATTTCTCAACACAATCATAATGAAGTATGCATTTGTTTATATTCCAGACATTACACATTGTTCATGTATTTGTTCTATATACCTCCTAAGACTAGAAAACGCTATGCCTATTTGCTTTATAATTCCCTTCAGGTACCCTGCAGAACTGATCATTCAGCACCATAAGAAGCCCAACAACTGATGTGGTTGACATTCCTGGAAACACAGCAGCCTGGAAGAGCCTCAAGGAAGATGGAAGGAAGTTAATCTTCTCTGTACGACCCAGCAGCAGACCTAGTCAGATCAGCAGTTAATCTTATGTATATCACACAGAAGTAGCTCTAGTCAGATCTGAGTGAGCTTCTAAAACATTCCCCTTAAAAGTCACTAGATTAGAAAAAGAAGGTGACTGATCACTGGAGCCACAATAATAATAGCCCCTGGCTATTCTGCTGACCTATCGCTACCCTAAAAGCTGTCACCCTTCAATCTGCCAATCCCATCTATTTCTGGAGTCAAAGGAAGAGGAGCTGAAATGAGTAGACACTGTTTTGAACAGATCAAACATTATTTTCCAGTAAAAAAAAAAAGACTTCTGTTTCACTGTAAGAAGGAAAAGTTTATTTACAAACTATAGTTTCTCTTACCTGTTTAGTTCTATGCTGAGACTCCGTGGACAAATTATTGTATGTATAATGGGCCTGTGTGATGCCACAAAACAACACTGCAACCACACCTATAAAGACAACGAGTTCCAAGTTCACACACAAGGGGAGTTCCCAACTTTTATACTGAGGCTCTTATTTTACAGAAGTAGATTATATGCCCAGGGTTGAAATTTTCAGTTGTGACTTTGTTGAGAGCAACCAATTCCACCGAAAATCTTTTTTACATTCTAAAGTGACAGCATAAATCCCAACCCTAACAAGCGTGTTCAAATACTAGAGGAGTTGGTCCACTTGCGGAAAAATTGACTGGCAAAGTCCCTCCCTGTAAGGGTTTACAATCAAAAGGAGAAAGTAACCTACCTGTGAAACCCCATGCTTCAGCCAAGAGGAAGGTACTCCAGGACATCAAGAAGAACAAACCTGTCTCCAACAACTGGAACTCCCGTAATTTGGTGAACTTTGTCACGTAAGACTGTCAAGGCTGGTAACTAGATCTTGTAATACAGAAGTGTGACTGGAAAAAATAATAGTCGAAACAAGGCAGCCATGAAAGCAAAAGAAGGGTTCTTCAGTCTCTCTAACAAAAAAGTCACAAAATAAGGAGGCACCAAAGTGAAGAAACTGTTAAAATGAGCATCATACTGAGGAGTCAGCAGCCTTCCTTTCCCTGAGGAAGTCTTACAGCTTAGTCAACCCAACTGTTTTATGGGTATCACATGCTCTGCCAGAAATCACACAGGAAAGGACAGGTAGAAACAAGAGCAAAAGATCAGCTACACAACACAGCAACTCTGACCATTAATTTGCAACCCAAAGCAAGACAGCTTCCATAATTATAGCAATTTACATTTATTAAAAATACGTCATTTCCATGAGATTTCACGTTTATTTGATCCTCTAACACCGCTGTGATGTACAGCATTCCATGATGAAGAAACTGAGGCATGTCACTTATACTAGTCTAAAAAATATTTGTTATTTGACAGTGGAAGGGCCCGTGTCAAGCTGTGACAGATCTTAGGCTGGAATCAACAAACGTGTACTACAACAACAAGATGAACAAGATACACTTCCGACCCTCAAGGAAGTACTGGGGAAGAGATACTATCTGTTCTGGCTCCTTCTTCAGAACTCTTTTTACTGCCCCTTTATGCCACACAGTTCACCTGTAAAAAGCCATAAGACAAGTCTCTTCCAGCACAAAGCTGAAGTATAGCAAACTTAGGGATTCTTGAAAAAAGTATTTGTTTTACATGAAAGTATCTTAGAAGTTTTAGAGCTGGAAGCTCTTTAGAGATCATCTAGCCCCACTCATCTTCCCTGCTGTCCCTGCCCTCCACCTTCCTACACTGAGGTCCCACGAGGTGACGTGTCAACGCTTCTATACCAGAAGCTCCAGGAAGGCAGAGGCCATGCCTGTCTTGTTTATTTTTGATACCCAGAGCACAGCATTTGGCATGCAGCAGGCAATCAAAAAATGTTTTTTGAATGAATACAAGAATGACTTGCCCAATATTTCTAATAGAAAACTAGCTGGCAGTGCCTAGGGCTCTAAAGCAGAAGGCTAAAATTGGTGAGAGCTGAGATGATGTTCAATTAGCATCATGGTTGTACACTTCCTATTCGTCCTATTTAACAAAGAGCAAATGACTGCCGGGCTGAGCAGCAGTGCAGACCACCCAGAGGATCTTTGGACTACAGCTACCTTTATATCAATTTAGTCTACAACCTTAAAATTCACCCCCAAAGGGCCATTGTGTCTAATTAGACTTGGAGAGAAAGTTTGAGGGCACGAAGCCCTACACAAAACAATGAAATTCTTTTATTTTTTCATAAAGATGATTGCCTAATGTTTGCAAACCAAGTACTTGGTTATAAGGTTAATGATTATAACACAATGCCAATTATGGAACTAGGAGAGACCACAGAACACAGCATTCAACTACTTTGTCAGGTTAACAAGAAAAGATAAATACAATAAAAGGATATTAAAGCTGTCACCACTCCAGTAGCAGCACCCATTGCGAAAGATCCACTGAAGATCCCAAGGAAAATCCCAATAGACTTGAACATGGCTGTGACATCAAAGGTGTGGCTGTTGTCTCCAGCTGGCTGGTATGCTACTATTGAGCTACAAAAGAGAGATCGTTCTTACTTCTAGAAGCAACTTTTACTTTAAAAACATTATCTAAAAAAATAAAATATATAAATAAATAAAAACATTATCTAGTGTGTGTAGAGCTTGAAAGGTGAAATCAGAGGAGGGGAAAAATCCAAAAACTTTTGATTCAAATTGCCAAACTAAGGACAAAAGGTTACCAAAACACCCTGCAGTGGATCCAGCTAGCAAGAAAACTCAGCTTTTACTTAAATGACAATTTCAGGAGGTAGAACATTTTCAGGTCCTCTATATGAAAGTTGTACTGAGCCTTTTCCTCCAGCCTCAAGATATTGGGCAGTACTATTCTTCTGCGACTCTGCTTAAGACTTACTAGTACTGAGTGCCTGAAAGCCCTAACATACTAATGTGAACAAACTAATGAAAAATTCCACTTATTCCCAGCAGAGGCATAAGAATACAAAGAATATTGTTCAATAATCAACCCAGTCACATTTTGTTTTTCCTATGGGAAAAAAGACGACTGAAGTACCTTTTCAACTTTTAGAAAACCAGAATGGGCCCAATGCCTGATATCTATTCACTCACTGAAATGGACTTTTATAGGAAAAAGGGCTTGAAAGGCTTTACAAGGAATTAGAATCCACTCAACAGTACTTTTAGCATACCCAGTTGGATCCTCCACCTCAAACTTCTGAAAGAAAGTCACCCTATGAGAGGCCAAGACAGACAATTACAGGAGACACTCTCCATCTTGAACTCACAGTCCAAACCTGGTCTAAAAATGTTTCTTTTAAAACAGTCACCCCAGAAAATAGAAATGGCTGAGAAAATCACTGTTGCCAGCAGGTCTCTGGCAAGAATGCCTACCATTACTAAGACAGTTCTCATCTCAGTTAATTGAGGTACCAGCGTTTTCATGAAAAGTCCAGACTCAAAGACATCATACAAGTCATGTCAAAGAAAAGAAGGAGAAAAAACACATTCCTAAGAATATAATGAATTCTCCCTGTGGTTACTGCAATGTTTTTTCTGGTTCAAGGCTAAAAGATGGGCTTGCTATATCATGTACACCAAATTCTTTTCATAACTCCTTGGTTAAGTTAAAAAAAAAAAAAAAAAAAGCAAAAACAAAATCTAAGACCAAACTAAAACTTCCTAATTTTATCTATTTTATTTAAGTATAGCACTAACATTAATTTCTGATAATGGCATCTAGGAATTTCTGAGATTCAATCTGAATTGAAAATTTTAAACATCTGTATTTAAATGTTCAAAGTGACCAGATCATTTGGGGACCAGTAGATTTGACATTGTTTTAATAAATATGAAATGGCCTTTAATGTCATGCTATCTTACCTACACATAAAGGGCCCTACCACCATAAATGAGGTCTGACCACATTACAACACTAAAATATAGCAGCTGGCTGGAGAAAGAAAGGATATTGCCATGACAAACTTTTTTCTCCCTGGTGATAGTTTTCAAAATGCTGGGTAGAACAAAATATCTACGCCATGCCTCCTGAGGGTGCTTTCTCTGGATTAGTTCACGTAAATTCAAGATTCATATTAATCATTATTTTATTCTTTAATCCCCAAAATGCATAAGAACACATGAAAATCATTGTGGGCTGAGAACAGATGAGAGGTTTGTTTTCTTCTGTTTTAGTAAAACGCTGGCCTCTGAATTGGAATCTTAACTCATCTTTTCCACATCAATCAACATTTTATCTTGCGGCAGCAACATTTTTATGAATTTTTTTTTAATCCAGAGAATAATACAGTGTATAATTTGGGTGAAAAATCACCCCATCATTCCACTACCCTGGCAGCTTCATCTTATTTTCCTTCTGTATTTCTTTCCCCACTTCTTGTTACATGCATGCTATTTCATGTTTAGTTGTAATCATAATGAATATATGGTTTTAAATTCTGCTTCTTCAACTAACAGTGACATAAGTATTATCATAGTCTCTCTAACCATGGCTTTTAAAGACGTCAAAAATGGTCCAAATGGATATAACATAATTTAACATTTTCCCACTGTTAGACATTTACAAGTTGCTTCTAATATTTTTGCTACTATAAATAACAGTGTGAAAGAATATATTTGTGCTTTTTACAAATTTTGGACTATTTCCTTATGATACATTCCTAGAAATAGGGTATTACTATACCTATGGTTTTTTTTTACATGTTGTGCAACTGCTTTCAAATACATCTGTATTACCTTTTTGGAGGGAAATATGACTCTCTCTCTCATGTTTTTAGTGATCATATCCATTGGTCGAGAAAGTCTACTTCTAAATAACATTCTACAGAAATACTCTCAAGGATTCACAGAGATTTACACATAAATATGTTCACTGTAGTGCTAGTCACAATAATACAATATTAGAAAACGGCAAATATTAATCAACAGGAGGTTGGAGAGGTAAATTTGCAGTGCATCCATACAATGGTATAATAGAAGTATTAATATAGTACATTGTCCAAGTGAGAAAGCAAGTTACAGAAAAGTATGTATAGTACTAGGCATTTCTTTTGTTTAAAAATTATTAATATATTTATATATATGTTAATATCCTAATGGAAAAAGTCTGGATGAAAACCTTAATAGTGGTTATTTCTGAGAGCTGAAATTTCAGGAATTTTCTACTTTGTAAGTCAAATACTTTGAATTTTTGTTACAAACATGTATTAATTTTGTTATCATAAATGATGACAAAAGATAAAATACAAAAGAACAGGTGATATCAATTTCAATGTTAACAATATACGCATGATCTAGTTTTACCGCACCAGGGATTGAGAAACTCTGATTTTGCATACCCAGCATCATTGCTATTTAGGGCCAGATAATTATTTGTTGGGTGGTGAGTGCTGTCCCGTGTATTGAAGGATATTTAGCAGCACCCCTGGCCTCTACCCATTAGATGCCAGTAGCAACCTCCTCCCATTCATGACAACCAAAATGTCCCTAGACATTGCCAAATATCCCTGGGGAGGGGGGGCAAAACTGCCCCTGGTTAAGAATCACTGCATGAACCATTACCAGCAGTAACTATTTTCATTAACAATATTTTCTTGTTAACTGAATAGGTAAAAATGGCCGCTTATTTTAACATGTATATCTCTGGTAACTAGTAAAGTTAAACAGTTTGTCACATTTGTTTACTCACTGTACTTCCTCTTTTATAAAATGTAAATCATCCTAAGAAACATATTTTAAACTAGTATGAATTTAGGTCTCCAGGCTAATTATGGTATATCCATTCAGCAGAATACTAAGAAACTTAGAATTTATCTCCAACTAGATAAATAGACTACACTACATCAGTACATATAGATCTACCTCATACAGCGATGTATGAGGGAACCAGCTTCACTCTACTCTCACCAGATTAAAAGTATTAATATTAACAAAAACAAGTACTGTTAATCTAACAGGTCAAAATACAAAGAAAAACATAAATTTCAAGAAGGGTTGCCTTAACCTGTTAATTGCCAAACAGAACTCCTTCAGAAAGGGGACCCCCACTTTATGCAAGACTGCTTTTATAGAATACACATATTAGAAAATCGTCAAACTAACACAACTCAACACAAAGTAGACCATTTCTATCTAAAGTACTTTAAAAGGCAAATGAAAGATGACAAACACACCGACAAACACTCCAGCTAGTAACCTCCCATAGCCAGTAACACAACTAGTTTTCCTCCAGCTTTTCGGCAGGAACCTATTTGTTCAACTCCATTAAGACAGCTACACAGCTAACAAGCTCCTTGATATGATCCTCTCAGATACAGTCCCTCTCCACCAGAGTTCCACCAGACTATGTCAGGAGTTAACTTTTCTCCTCTGAATCTAGGATGGTACTAGCTCTGCACCATCCTTATAAGAATTGAGGAAAGAATCACTCAAATCATTCTCTATAAGGCTTAATTCTCTCACAGAGCCCTGTTTGAGAAGGGCCGCAATAGCAGGACAAGCATGGCTCTTTGTGACAAGTCTTATGGAAAGGGAATTCTCTTTATGACACACTTATTCTTCATCAACACTGATATGTACACCCCCACACTCAAAACTTTTCAATGAGTTTTCTTTTCCTTTAACACTATTCAGCTGTTCTTAAAGTTGCAGGAAATAAGTCACATTATTAACAGAAAAACTAAGGCACAAGGCACAGCAGTTTAAGACAGGACCAGAACAGAGATTTTTCTGACTCTTGATCCATTAGGGCAATGAGGAAGGAACACTTCTTAGTAAGATGATCAAGCAGCAGGATAATGATCTAGGATGGGAAATTGATGCTAAAAGTAAATGCCTGTACCTTATTCTCTTCATCTGGTAGCACCAGTGATCTATGTTCCTACATACCGAAAGCTTCCACAGTCTTTGTAGTGTCATTTTTTTATAACACATAAGTTACAACCACACTATCCATTTCTACCTTCTTTCAAATAATATAAAACTTTTATTTTGCACACCTATTGTCATTGAAGGTGTACCAATTCAGTATCAATATCATAGACTTTAGGTTTTATTTCTTAAATTTATATTAGTTGTGGACAGCTGCAAAAATTCTGGCAATAAATATAGGAGAGGAGTGGAATTTAAATACATTCCATTCACAAAAAAGGATCTGACCTTTTGCATATCTTCATACACAACATTTAAGGGATTAGTGTTACATCTCAGAAAGGATAATTTTCCACTTTGCAGTAATGCCATGGGGGCAATCAAACTATGCAAACCAGAGTCAGTGATGGATTACTCTTTTATAGTTAATAAAGTGGAAATTTAGGAGAGAAATAAAAATAAAGAGAAAATGTAAAAGGCTTTTACTTCTCTCTCACAGAAAGTTCTGGTATGGAGTAAAGGAAACTGTCTATAGGGTTAGATGTTTACTTAGTAGGCATGGGTTGGCAGGATTGAGTTCCTCAGAGGTTCAGACTCATTCTCACTCAGAACCTGTGAGCACCTTCTAATAACATGCATAGCAATTTCTATAATTAGATTAAAATACGGCTCATTTGATGATCGTCTTAAAAAAGTGTATTTAACACTTCTAAAAATTAAAAAATGTTTCTGAAATGATTACGTTAAATAAGAGAAATACAAATTAAGCTACAACGAGATACTTCTCCATCATCAAATTGGCAAAAATACAAAAGTACGACAAATATTCTGTTGGTGAAGCTATGAGGAAATAAGCACTCCCAAAATTTAGTGGTTACAGTGCAAAATGGCATAACCCCTTTGTCAGGCAATTTAGCAATGTCTAACGAAATTACAAATGTATTTGCCCTTTAACCCACTAATCTCACTTCTGGAAATTTATCCTACCAATATACCTATGCATGTACAAAACAGGTAAGTTCAAGGTTAATCACTGCAGCATTATTTGACATAGCAAAGGACTGAAAACTCTTTATGCTTCCAGCAATAGGAGACTGATTAAATACGCTATAGTACAGTTCATAGTAAAGTACATAGAATACTATGCAGCTACAAACAAAGAATGAGAAAACTCTGTTTTGATATAGAAAGATCTCCAGAATACAGTTATGTGAGAGAAAGCTAGGTATAGAACATATATAGCATGCTACTTTTAAAATGAGAAATGAGAGGCAAATAAGAATATTTATTCATATGTGTGCTTGCATTTGAATAAAGAAATACGAGGATTTCATTATTTTCATTATCACAAGAAACTAATAAAAATGGTTACCTACAAGGGGCTGAGGGGACAGGTGGATGAAGATAGGTGTAAGAACATGAATTTTCAACGTATACCCTTCTATATAGTTTGATTTTGAACCATGTGAATATATTATCTACCCAAAAATTTTAATTTAAAAAATAAAATGTTCATATTATAATGTTAAAACAGAATACAAAATTATATATACACTATAATCACAACTATGTAAAAATACCATGCATAGAAATAAAGAGTAAAAGGAAATGTTTTAGAATGTTTACAGCAATTGTTTTTAGGTGTTGGGAGTACATATTCTTTTTTTTCTTCCGTTTTCTTCCTTGCATTTTCCATGTTATCTATAAGTATGTATTTCTTCAACGGGAAAAAAATGTCTCATTCTTTCAAATGTTTCCATTCATGATGCACTTCATTCAATAAGTGACTTTTGGCTCCTAATACCCTAACATTCAATACACAGAATATAATAAGAAAACAAACACTTACGAAGACAGCACTATGGCAACAGCATCGTTGAGGACACTTTCACCAAAAAGAAGTGCATAGAGTTCAACATCAACTTGAAGCTCGTGGAATATGGCAAGAACAGTCACTAGCAAGCAGAAAGAGTCAGAGGAATATTTAGATATTACGAATATAACATATTCCCCTTCAGAGATGATTATCATAGTTATTTAAAAATTCATTTCTTCCTCTTAGAATTCAATCCCAATAAACGGTCTCTTATCATATTAAAGATTCAGTAATTTTATGTCAATATTTTTCTTTTCCCTAATTGTGTACCTGCAATATCTCCTTTCTCTCTCTTACAAACTGCTGAAAATAACCTTGGAGGACTGAGTTGGCCTACATTCTTCATGAAAATGCTAATAATCTTGTCTTGTACATTCATTTTCCATAAAGAAGATATTCAGAATTTCTTACAGACCAGGTGATCATTAATCTTTGATGAAGAACAACATTACAAAAAGCATTTCCTGCGGCAAACTTCATTTTTCCCTTGGAGCTTTACAAGGAAGAAGGAGCCTTCACTTTTATTTGACTAGCAAATTTCAAGCACTCCAGTTTAGCAAAGACAGTAGGAAATGAAAACACAAGTTTGGTTTTTGGTTGGGATAAAATTTATGACCAGAATTACAGCTGCTATATTTAACCTAATAAGAAGCCAACTATCAGGCTATTACAGCTTGAGAAGAAGAAAAAAAAACTCCTTTTTTAGGAAACAGTTATATGAGAATTCTTAGAAAATCAGATGAGATTGAAGTTGCATTATAACTTTAATTGCTGAGTCACATACAGCTCACTTGCTAAATAAACCCAAGCAGACATGAAAGATTATTACAACCAGAGATGGGAGAGCCTCTTCAACCACCAATCAAAAAAACAGGAAACGTGTATTTTATAAGATATAGTTTCTACTGCAAAGCATTTCCTCTGAAATATACTGATAGCAAAGCTTACCGAGAGAAAGAGAAAAGGAGAGCAGGAGCAACCCTGCAGAATTTTGAAAAGAGAACCTATGGCTCACCCTTCTATCAAGTGAACAATTGCAAAATAAGAGAATGATTATCGGAGCAAATGCCTATACTATTCAGAAGAAATGTAACTACCCAACTTTATATAAGCAAAACAGTTTTGCTTGAGCCATTCAGGCAACACGCCTACCAAAACAAAACAAGAAGGTTGAAGTAAGGTAGCCAGTCAGATTTACTTAGATTTTTCACAGGCTTTGAAAAGTCAGGGAGCTTGCTTCTAGTGAGAGACATGGAAAACAGACCACAGGCTCCTTGCAAAAACCATCCTATCTTCATATTGATAATGGGAGCAGCTACAAACAATAGGGGGCAGCCTTGATGGTCGTTAAGGAAGCAATTTGATTTTCAGTTTGAAAAATGCTAAACCACACAAACACCTCTCTAAAATGCCCTCTGAGCTTTTAAAATCATCTTTTATAGAGTACAGAACAGATTTTCCTACTTCCTATAATGTCCTGTGTTACCAGAGTTTACACAGGAATTCAGAGATAACCTTAAGATCCTATCTTTAATTGTACTGGATGACAATTATAGAAGAAGATTAACTTACAAGGTCAAAGGTAAAACAGAACAAACTTCTACCAAGGTCTTGAAGTCTAGTAAAAGAAAACTTGCATCCTTAGTTCAAAAACTGCAGTCTTTGTTCCTATCCCTATGTCTTTGGCCTACATAGTCTCTAAATTCCTTGCCTGAGTGTAGCTGTGAGGCTCACAAACACTGTATCAGGAAAACTACAACCTAACTCACACAATTAAATTCATTCTCCAGCTGTGCTAATATCAAAACTATTTTATAACCATAAAGCCAATTTTATAAAAACTATTCTTTAATGTATATTAAAGCCCCCCCAATGACCACAAATCACACTTGTAGTAGCACAACTGCCTTCTAACAATCATTTAAAAACTTTTTTTCTTACTCTTAAATGCAGACAGCTGAATGTAAACAGAAGCTTTTTAGGCAACTGGTTTTCTAGAAGCTCGAAAGGAAGTATATAATTATTACCCAATTTAACTAATCTAGTTCATCTTCTCCTATACCCAATTACTAGGGATAGACATCAACCTGAATTTCTGAAGAAAATACCTTATAGCCCTTGTCTAAACAGTATCAAATTGTGGACCAGTAATAGGCAAATGTAATAACACAAAAGAAAAAAAATAAATTTGTGCTTAAACCAAAAGGAACCATGAATTTTGTTTTTTCCCCCACAATTGGAAAGTATACTACTATGGGAAGTACCTAATCATGAATTCTACATCTCAAAGGAAGAATTACCCACATGTGCTTTGACAGCAAAACACTTCCTTAAGTACTTAAGCTCCTCACCCATGTAAAACATACCTGGATCAGTTGCCGATACAATGGCACCAAAGAGCAGGCAATCTGTAAAGTAAAAATCTCCCGCAAGTTGTCCAGTTACTTTCATCAGTGTTACACAGCCGTACATTATTGACCTGTTCAATAAACACATTTCTACTTTAGAAAAAATGTCAACTGTTAAAGAAGTTAGAATAAAGTAATAAGAAGAAGATGGGTCTACTTAGTACTTCATGACTAATCCCGAATTTAATTCATGTCATTTAAATATGGTAATATCTTGGCCTTAATGAAAATTCAAGCAACTTATTATCTATGGGAATACATTTTACTGCAAAAGTCCTTAGACACATTCAGGAATACAATACTGCATAAATCAAATATGCATTATTTTAAAATTATAATTTGAAGGTTAAAAAGTGTTTTAAGCTTCAAGTACTTACCCAATTACGAAACAAGAAATCGCTGTTCCAAGAAAAGCATATGCTAGGATAGACCCAAGGTTTCGAAAGAAATGTCTCTGACAAAAAAAAAAAAAAGTTACACTGTGTTAGAATACTTACCAATTATTTGAAAAAGAAAAGGTTTTCTATTCTAGTGTGCTATGCTAATATTAAATGCATTATTCATTAAAGGAAATAAGAGAAAGAATTTTTGTACAGGCATAAATTTCTGCATCTAAAAAGGATAAGGAGAGGAAAAGGGAAAGAAACCTGGAAAGAACTGCTCATGGAGTTGAAGGTTGTTCAAAGCATATGAAATACAAAAGCACTTACTCTTTTCAGACTATATCCTGCATAAAATATGATAGGGGGAAGTAATATGTTGAAAAATACTTCTGGATCAAAAGTAACCTGTTAAAATAAAGAGTTCTTTTAGATGAATTCCCTTAAGAAACCTCATATTACATTATCAATTATCAAAATGAAAAAAAATATTAAATGTTAAACTGGTAAAAGGCAAGAATATTACTGTGGTAATTGAAAAATATTTCATATAGGGTAGCTGTTGTTCCACCTCTCAACCAACAACAAGGAGATAGTGTTGGAGCAATCAATTAAGTCATACCTGTGCAAAGTGTGTTCAAATACTATCATATTAAAAATCTTAAAAATAGGAGAGAGCATGAACATATCTTTGCTTTAAATAAAGGAGACCCAAAACTGGTAACTTAAAATTTGGGGGTGCATCATTATTGTTGGCAAAAGGAAACAGATTTCTTGCATAGGTAACATCTCTAAAGGTATATAACATAATACCATGGTAAAAAGTTACTGTACAAGTCATATTTCTAGTCCTGACAGCCCATTTCTCTTAATATCTATTCCTATAATACAGATGCGCCCTTCTGTTCAGAAGGCTGTACTAGGATTTGACATGAACACAAAGCAGCTACACACATACCCATGCTAAAATTTCGTTTACTAGAACTTTTAAGGAACTGGAATTTTCCAAGGGTGGAAAGAACTTCTGCTGCAAAGTAAACTTTAAGTTCATATGAAAATTTATTTTTATTTTTTTTTAATTCTTTTTTTTTTTTTGTGAGGAAGATCAGCCCTGAGCTAACATCCATGCTAATCCTCCTCTTTTTGCTGAGGAAGACCAGCTCTGAGCTAACATCTATTGCCAATCCTCCTCCTTTTTTTTTTTTCCCCCTAAAGCCCAAGTAGATAGTTGTATGTCATAGTTGCACATCCTTCTAGTTGCTGTATGTGGGACACGGCCTCAGCATGGCCGGAGAAGCGGTGCATTGGTGCGCGCCTGGGATCCGAACCCCGGCCCGCCAGTAGCGGAGCACGTGCACTTAACCGCTAAGCCACGGGGCCAGCCCCGTATGAAAATTTAAAAAGCATTAAAGATGGTCAGGAACACAACCAAGTAGCTATAAAAGCCAAGTCCTGCCATTGTAGAAGACAGAAGTGGAGGCAAACAGCCAAGGGTGGGCAAAAACAGAGACATGAGCAAAGAGGCTCTGGAAGCTTCCTAATAGAAACTGTGCGGGGGACAGGAGAAAGCAGCTCCGGGAATGTCTGGGAGCCAGAAAGACTGCAAAGCTCCTACATACAGCTTGATGCACAGCATGGTACAACCACTGATACTCAGACTGAGGCCCCTGAAATTATGCTAGATTATGAGTCAAAGAAAGATTAAATTGTGCTCAGTATAGAATACCATCAGGCAAGAAAGAATTCAAAGAAATATTAATGGAATAGTTTAGGTATTATCAAATAAACTCAATATGCTGAAGTATATAAAACTCTAACGACCATCTGCAAATTGAAAGAAACGCTTATAAATTCTGCTTAACCCAATACTGGCCACCATTTATTACAACTGTCAACACCACAGAGTGAAACAAAAAGGGTTATAGTACTTAGTCTCAATCAGAAAAGGAAATGTACAGACAGGTCCATTTCCTTAGCATTCATTAGTTGAGGATTTACTTCATTTTAAAAGACTGATTAGGGGCTGGCCCAGTGGCGCAAGTGGTTAAAGTGCGTGCGCTCCACCGTGGCGGCCTGAGGTTTGCCGGTTCGGATCCCGGGCGTGCATCGATGCACCGCGTGGCAAGCCATGCTGTGGCAGCGTCCCGTATGAAGTGGAGGAAGATGGGCACGGATGTTAGCCCAGGGCTAATCTTCCTCAGCAAAAAGAGGAGGATTGGCAGATGCTCAGGGCCGATCTTCCTCACAAAAAAAAAAAGACTGATTATTTTAAATATCATTGAAAATGCATTATTTATTTTTCTCCTGAGTCACTTTGTTGCTAGTTATACACTTTTTAAAAAATCCAAAGATTCCCTTTAACTAAGAACTTACCTTTCTAAGCATTTCATTATCTTGAACGTTATTGAGTTCATGTGAACTAATCTCTCCTTTCAGCGTATACTCATAAAATTTTCCACTAACGTTTACCAATAAGGTAGTTGGGCTTGACTGCACTTCACAGCTCAGGGTCACATTGTTTACATCGCTTGGAACATGAATGCCATATCGAAGCACAAGGCCCACCAAGAGACCTGGAAATAATAAAAGAACAATATAAGCTCTTCTTTCGAACAGAGACTACTTCTGTTGTACCCTGCACACATCTTTGGATTGATAGGAGAAAATCTCTTATGATAGCCCCTGTGGTTCAGAACCTATTTTTAGACTGAATGCAGTTACATTTTAAAGTATTACTGGGGCCCGCCCGGTGGCGCAAGCAGTTAAGTGCGCACGCTCTGCTGCAGCAGCCCGGGGTTCGCTGGTTCAGATCCTGGGTGCGCACCGATGCACCGCTTGTCAAGCCATGCTGTGGCGGTGTCCCATATAAAGTAGAGGAAGACGGGCATGGATGTTAGCCCAGGGCCAGTCTTCCTCAGCAAAAAGAGGAGGATTGGCAGATGTTAGCTCAGGGCCGATCTTCCTCACACACACAAAAAATAAAATATTACTAAATTCACAATCTAAGAGTCCAATATTCACAAAATCCAGTGGGACAGGAGGGAAAAACATTCCCTAGGGTAACAGCACATATCACTGCATTTCTAGATCAAGATATAAATACGTGATTAGAAAGGGAACAAAATGAGGAAATACCTCCAAATCATCTGTACACAGAATATGCTCCGACGTGTCCCCACCGAACAGTGTAATCATGTTAGAAATGTATTTATTACCTCCATCCATTGATTCACAAAACTGTTCAACACATACATTTCTCAAGTTATTCCTAAAGCACATGACGGGCCAAATAATACCCATTTAACAAACTGGCAAGTCAATAATACTTGTAGATTTATTGAGTTCTTCTACTACTAAAAGATCAGACTTTAATTTTAAAATATAGTCATGCATCACTTAACAATGGGGATACATTCTGAGAAATGCGTCATTAGGCGATTTCATTGTTGTGTGATCATAGTGTGTACTTACACAAACCCAGATAGTATAGCCTACTACACACCTAGGTTATACGGTACTAATCTTAGGGGACCATCAACGCATATGCAGTCTGTCACTGACTGAAACGTTGTTATGTGGCACATGACTATATACGCTTCCAAATCAAAACATGGAATAGAAATCTTGAATCTGGCACTATGATATCAACATATTGCTAGAATTTTACCCAAATCATCATACTGATATTCAAATATACACAGTGTTCTAGGTACTATAAACTTATACTGACCAAACTGTTTAATAACAGATTTATTGAGATATAATTCACATATCATAAAGTTTACCCTTTTAAATTGTACAATTCAGTGGCTTTTAGTATATTCACAAGGTTGTATATTGATCACTACTACCTAATTCCAAAACATTTTCATTGCTCCAAAAAGAAACCCCATATCTATTAGCAGTCACTCTCCATTTCTCTCAGCCCCTGGCAACCACTAATCTACTTTCTCTATATATAGATTTGCCTATTCTGGACATTTTATATAAATAGAATCCTTCAATATGTGACCTTTTATGCCTGGCTTCCTTCACTTAGCATAATGTTTTCAAGGTTTATCCATGTTGCAATATGTATGAGACTGCCATTCCTTTTTATGGTTAAATATTATCTCATTGTATAGATATACCTCAACTGCAAACTGAACTAAAACTTCTGGAACTTTCCTTAACTCTAAGATGCACACTATACCCCTATTAGTTACATTTTACCTGCCTGTCTCTCATCACTCTAACCAGCCAGCCATTCTTTTAATATATGTGAATGGAGTATTATGCTAAGTAGGCTCCCAGGGTTCAGAGATGAAAACAAGGGCCCACCTTCAAGTAGCTCTCAGTCCAGTTAGTGAAAACAGACTGAATAAACAATTCTAATATGATACATATGTGTGCAAGGTGTTATAAAAAGAGAAAAGAGGTACCTAACCAAGCCTGAGGGAGTGGGACATTAGGGAAGTCTTTCCAGAGGTGTCACCTAAGCAGGTAACAAAGTAAAAGAAAAGGTTTTCCAGGTGGGAGGAATAGTAGTACATATCCAGTCAAGGAAGAGAGAGAGAACACGGCCCACTCAGGGAATCCCAAGTAGTTCATTATGGCTGAGTTACAAAGCCACCAGAGTTGGAGTGTGAAAGGCCAGCAGGAGCTGAATCATAAAAGACCTTGCGTGTTGGGGAAGGGAGTTAGACTTCATTCTGAAAGCAAAAGGAAGTCACAGAAGGGTTATAAGCAGGGGCTTGACATAAGATTTCTATTTTAGAAAGACTGGTCTAGACTACAGAGGTTCGAAAAGGCAGGATAGAAGGCCAGTGCAGTCATCCAGGCATTAAGAGCTTAGGGCCTAATCTAAGAGAGTAGAGACAGGGAAAGAGAGGATTTTTAGAAGGTATTGTGTTTTAGAAGGATAAGGTGACTGAGTAGACTGGGAAGAAGGGAGACGAAAGACTAAGAGGAGCCTAAACCGACTTGGCAACTAGGTGGGTAAACTGGCCTGAAGAACCAGGTGTATAGCAAGGCCATTCAGTGAGACAGGGAACAGATTTACTGGGTAAAATGTGCAGTTCAGTTTTGGACATGTTGAGTTTGATGTACTTGTGACACATGCACAGCTGAGTATGTGGGATCTGGAACTCAAGGAAGGGGGGTGGGGGATCTCAACTGGAGATATACACTTGGAAGGCATAAGATGGCTGAAGTCAGATGCAGATGAGATTATCTGGGGAGCAAATAAAATAGGAAGAGGGCTATGGATATATGCCTGGCATTTTATCCCAATATTTAGAGCCAACATTAAGGGGCTAGTAGAGGAGGAGGAGCTGATGAAGGAGTCTAAGAAGGAAAAGCAATAGCAGTAGGAAGAAAAGAGGAGGAAGTGATGAAAACTAGCACATCCTGCAGCAAAGTCAAGCAAGACAGGCATTAAGAAGTGTCCACTGGGTTTGGCAACAAGAAGGTCATAAGTGACCTTGGTAAGGGCAGTTCCAGTAGAGCAGTGGGGGCGGAAGCCAGACCAGAGTGGGAAGCGATGAGGCAGAAATAGGAGGCCTAAGAGTAGCAGTTGGTTGGGAAGGGGGGAGGGAGTGGAGATGAGGAATCCTTCTAGATAACTTATAGTCACATATATTTTTTCAAGTGAGCAGCAGTGAGTAACTGGTAAACAGTAGAATGGCATCAACTTTTAAAAAAGTTTTAACAAAGGTTCAGATTTAAAATAAGTGAAAGAGAAAATATTTGCAAATCATATATCTGATAAGTGGCTAATATTCAAAATATATAAAGAACTCATACAACTCAACAGCAACAAAACAATCAAATTAAAAAATGGGCAGAAGATCTGAATAGACATTTTTCCAAAGACATACAGATGGCCAACAGGCACATGAGAAGGTGATTAACATCACTAATCAGCAGGGAAATGCAAATCAAAACCACAAAGAGATATCTCCTCACATCTGTTAGAAAGGCTATTATCAAAAAGACAGGAGATGACAAGTGCTGGTGAGGATGTGGAGAAAAGGGAACTGTTGGTGAGAATGTAAACTGGTGCAGCCACTATCGAAAACAGTATGGAGGTTCCTCAAAAAACTAAAAATAGAATTACCATATGATCCAGCAATTCTACTTCTGGGTATTTACTGGGAGGAAATGAAAACTAACTCGAAAACATATATGCACCTCCATGTTCACTGCAGCATTATTTACAATAGTGAAGATACAGAAACAACCTAAGTGTCCATTGATAGCTGAATGGATAAAGAAATTGTGGTATTATACATACAATGAAATATTATTCAGCCATAAAAAAAGAATGAACTCTTGCCATTTGCAACAATACGGATGGACCTCGAGGGCAGTATGCTAAGTGAAATAAGTCAGACAGAGAAAGACAAATACCATATGATCTCTCTTACACGTGGAATCTAAAAAAACAAAAAACATCCACAAGCTCATAGATACAGAGAACAGACTGGTGATTGCTAGAGGCGGGGGGTGGGAGGTAGGAGAAATGGGTGAAGGGGGTACAAATTTTAAAAATGTAAAGAAAAATAAAATAAATGAAAGATACACTTTGAAAATATCTCACCTCCAAAAAACACAATAAAAAAGTGACAGCTGGGTATCAATTGTGTTTGATAAACATAAGTTGGGAGAGAAAAGGCTATAGATCCACAGTCATCCTGCCTATATGATATAGAAACAGCTCTTTTCTCTCCTACTCCATAAGATCTCCTAATTAAGAGGCTCGGTAAAAGTTGACCCCTTATATTTATGTGCAAAAATCACAGTTAAGCTGCTACAAATAGTAATAATAGCAGCATAAATTCGTTCCATGTCAAGCCCGACTGTGTAAGGAACAGTACACACTGGTTCTACTGCATCTGACCTGATGCTGAAATGTCTCTGGGTGCCCTAAGGAGGGCTCAGCACTTGGACAAATTTGAAACACACACCTTGGCAGTTAAAACAGCACCAAAGAGAATAACTACTTAGGTTGGAAAAAATCAAGATCCTTTTATTACAGCATCAGACATCTGAAAAATTGGAAATTCTTTGAATAAAGTTGACAGATCAAGTTAATTTGGGTTCTGTGAAAGGTCAAATCCTAATCATGAAGTTAAAGCAATTCTCAGTAAAGAGAAAGTACACAAAAAGAGTGCTTTGTTAAGGGATAAGGCAGAAAATTCTAGCCTCCTACATAGACAGAGGCACAAAAAACATTGGTATCATAAAATTTAAAATTACCACCAATAGGTAACAAAGAATACAACCACAAAGAGATATCTTCCAAAAACAGAGAGGTTTCACACCTCCTACACATTCTTGACCCCCTTGTGCTAGAAACCCTCCCAGGGGTAAAGAACTCAGTGTCACCCAAGGCCCCACCACTGTATGAGGCTCACAGTTAGTGGAAACTGACTGGTTTTCTCATGGATTTCAGCCCATTCTTCCAGCTTATCATATTAGAAGCCTCTGATAGTCAAAAATATGGAAGGAACACCACTGAGGTATTAAGTGTGTCCAAAATTGATAAAATTTCTACAGATTAAAAAGTGTGTGTATATGTATATATATATATATATATATGTATATATGTGTATTTGTGTGTGTATGTACGTATGAAACATGTATCTACTTCTTGAAGAATGCCTTTAGATTCTGTCTTCAAAGCTAATTCAACTTCAAGATAGCCAAAAAAGTCAAGGCTTTTGCTGACCTCTGCTTAGTTTTACATGTGTTTATTCATCTTTTGGTCTCCTAGCCCATTCTCTACAGCAGCTCTTCCAACCTTTATCCTCCTTCTCAAGTCCTCAATCTCACTGCCTACTTTTCTGAGAAGCTGGAGGCCATTTGATGTAAGCTGCCTCAATTCCAAGGCTCTCCATCTCAATGTAAACTCATTTCTCTTTAGCTCCCCTCTCAGGAAAGCAAAACTTCTCTTCCAAGGGAATTCTTTCACCTAGGACCTTGAACCAATCTCCATCCTAATTGTTTCTGCATATAATACATTATTTGATCCTCATAGCCTTATGAAACAGATACTATTATAAATATCTCAGTCATTATTTCCTCATCTATAAAATGGGGATAAATGATTTGCCCAACATTATTTGGCATTAAGTGACGAAACCAGAATTGGAATCTGGGTTTTCTATTTCCAAAGCCTCCATAATTTTCTAGTCATCTCTTCGCTCTCATGTCACCACTAACTGCTTCTCCAGTGGTTCAGGTCTCCATTCTCGCATAGCCTTCCCTCGCAATCCCTCTCCAAAGCCCTGCAACTTTAAGTATTATCTCCCTACAGATCTGATCTTATGAAATTTAGTACAGTACAGTACAGTGTAGGAGAAAAAGCACAAGTTGGGAAGTCAGATAGGTGTATGAATTCTGGTTTCATCAAGGTCTAGTCTGTGACTTTAGGACAGATAACCTCTCACTGAATCTCAGTTTCATCATAATGTAGTGATGATAATACTAACTTGTTTTATCTTTATAGTTTAAGTTTTATCTCTTCAACATGAGGCAATATGGTTAGGGGCTAAGAGAATGGGGCTTCTGAGCCAGACTGACTGGGTTTGAATCCTGGCTCAATACTTACAAGTTATGTGACTTCAGGCAGGTCATTTAACCTTTCTGTGCCCCAATTTCCTCATCCGTAAAATGAGGAAGATAATAGTACCCTTCTCACAGGGTTATTATGAGGTTTAAACAAAATGATACTTGTAGAGCACGTAGCAGTGTCTAACACATTATAATGCTCAATAAACATTACCTATTAAGTCCCTGGACTGCAAATGCTTTGTGGGCAGGGATGATGACTCACATCTGTGTTTCCCATCATATCTCATACATCAAAGACACTTAATAAATATTTATTGATGAATCACATTAGTTAAGCCTCGGACTCTGGATGCTGTAAATTTAAGGCAAAATAAATATTTCTTTCCTTTTTTTTTTATATCATCTGTAAGTACACTGCAGTGAATGATCACTTTTCAGCCTTAATTAACTACCCTGACAATTTTTACTAATGGTGACTCATTTTTAAGCTTCTTACGCAAGCTAGCCCAATGAAAAGAACACTTGGGGGCCTTACACTGTGTTTGTAACTGGAGCAATCAGGCTATATTACAATCTAGAAACTGACCACATTGGCAATTTAATCTCTTTTTTTTTCTTTTTTACCCTTGCTTCTCAATACGATAAAGGAGAGACTTATTTTAAACAGCATATTTCCAGGATTTAGGTAGCTAACAGACATCATAGAAATAAAATCATCAGTGGGCTGAATCTTGGAGGTCTGGACATTCCCAGAGTAAGAAGCCTTTTCATCTAGAAGTCAAGCTGAAAAATAAAGGTCTTAAAATAATATATTAACATAATAGCTATGATGGTACAAGAGTTGTAAGAAAAGGTAAATGACAGACAGTGATTAAGATTAGAAAACATCAATTTCCACGGCACTGAAAATACTTTTACCCAGTCCCATCTATTCGCAAACTGGACTTGAGAGTTAGTCAGGAGGCTGTTTGTCCACAGCCCCCATCGCCCATACTGAGAAAATGGAACAGGCTACATAATGCCAAGTTGTGGCAAATTAACCCCAGATGTGACTCCCAGATAACACTCTTCCATTTTATATTCCACAAGAGATGCCCTTGTTTTCCCTTCACAAAATACTAACACTAAGGTACTCCATCGCCTTTTATTAACTTAGAAACATCAGGAAACGCAATGAGTAATCCCACCTTTCTACTTCAGCCCAAGAGTTAGATGAGGTTCATGATATCAGCTACCAAAGAGCAAATATTTTCAGGGCATAAGTCTCTATTTGATTTTTCAGAAAATACTATGTTTGCCTCTCTAGTTACAAGACTGAGCAACTGTTCCAAGCCTAACCTGAGGAAACGCAGTTATAACAGCAATAATAATTGTATCACACTTATCATTTATTAAGCCTTTACTTTAGAGGTCAGGTACCAAGCTAAAAATATTTCTTCCTCACAATAATCCTACTATCATTGTTCCCAATTTCTAGGTGACAGTGTAGGAGGGTAAAGGACTTGCCTAAGATCACACAGAGCTATCGGCACAGCGGGACTGGAACCCAGGTCTGACTCTAAGGCAGGGGTTGGCAAACTACGGTGGCAGTCTGTTTTTGTATGGCCCAAAAGCTAAAAACCATTTTTACGTTTGTAAAGGGTTTGTCAAAAGAAAAAACAAAACAAAGAAGAAAATGCAACAGAGACACAGAGATTTATATGACCCACAAAGTCGACAATATTTACTGTCTGGCCCTTTACAGAAAAAAATTTGCAGACCTCTGGTCTAAAGCCTTGCACCTTTAACCACTACATCATACTCTCTCTATATACACAGGAAAGAGGTTTCTGTGATTGGTTCCTTATTTTAACACCATAATACTCATAATACTCACCTGGCATTTAACTGAATTTAAGATGCCATTCTTTTCTGTATATGACCTGTCTCTCCAAGAAGGATAAGTTCCTTGAAGGGGGGGATCTAATATTTCTTTGTATTTTCTGTGCATAATGCATAGTAGGCTGATTAGCAAATGTTTGTTGAGGATAGTAAATAAATCACACACTGTTATACAGAGAAATTAAATAGAGATGTATAGCTTATCTGGTCAATTTAGCTTAACAGGTGCTACAAATAAAATGCAAAAAATATGAAATATGAAAACCACCTAAGATGTCTAAAAACTAAGAATCCTAGGGCGTAGAGAGATTTTGCACAGAGGCTTAGAATTTCAACACTTTAAAAATGAAAAAATAAGCCTGAGTTCATGCATCTTCCTGATGCACACAACTACCTTTCCTTGCTACCCTTGAGATGCTTATTCCAGAAGTCTGTATTTACTGGAAAGGGCGGGGTGGGGGGAGTGCGTGGAGAAATATCTTTTTGTGTCAAGGCTTCTTCTACCTTGCAAGTCTGAGAAAACAAAGCTCAACAGCACATCAGTTTAAGCCTGTTACAAATGAACATAATCTTCACTCATGTACTGCACAGAAGGGACTGTTTGTCCGCCCTCATCTCTTCAGCCATCTATACCCTCACAGTCATCTTAGATTAAGACAGTCAGCATTATGCATCCTTTCCTCTCATGAGGTCCCAGCGCAGGCCAAAATGCCTCTCGGCCCATGGTTTAATTTGTCCTTCTCTCCTCAGGACCAAGAAATAAAAATAAATAAATAAGAAACCTCAAAAAGAGAGCATACGTAAGACACAAGAACTGAAGCCATTGACTCAACGATCCGTCAATAACCTGCCACCAGCAAGTCACCCATACTGCATATGCGTGGTGGTGTTCGTAATTACTGTTTGGCTGAACTGATTAGCGTATAGTACAACACACTGCTGGAAGATCCTTAACTCTTCCTTGTCCTCACCTCGGTACGCCTGAATTAGAAGGGTCAACCATATGTATCCTTACTAGATATTACAAGCGTAGTACAATAAACCGGGACATCATTTAAAATGCCCGAAGCCTTCTTTAGCTTCTTTCGCGTTCAGGTTTTTACTTGGGCTAAGCGGGAGTAAGGTTTTCATTCTCAACCTCGACGGACAGGGCGTAGCAAGAACTGGGTGATGGGTCAATGTGGACTCTGGCTCCAAAAGAACGCCAGATTCGGAGCAGTAGAGATACTACTGCAGATTCAATGGACCTTAAACAAACTGACACCCCAGAGAAATGGATCGCTATGCTGTCTTCCCCTCCCCCAGCCTCCAGCCCAATCTGAGACACCGCACCCACTCCCTTCCCATCCTCAGTCCCGGAGCCGAGCTTGGGAGGCAGAGGCGGGGGGAGTGCAGAAGAAAAAGGGGGTGGGGTCGGAGAAAAAAAAGGTGTGAACAGGCAGTGGAAAGGGGGTGCGAGGCAGAGAAAATCGGGGGCGAGGCTGGGGAGGAAATGGGGCGAGGCAGAGACACGGGGGGCGTAGCAGAAAAAAGGGGGGTGAAGCAGAGAAATGGGAGTAGAGGGAGAGGCGAGGCAGAAGATGGAAGGAATCAGAGGGAAGTCAAGCGTAGGCCCAGCAGGGCCGGGAGAGGAGGCCAATCAGTCGGCGGGCAGAGAAAAGGGGAGCGCCAGGGGCGGACATGGGGTTGAGGCACTTGCCATAAATCATAGCCAGGCCAGTTTCGTGCAGGAAGCGGGCCCGGCGGTGCTTGAAGAGCCAGATTGTGAGAATGGTGAGGGTGAGCAGCAGGATGAAGATGAGCAGGTTGGCGCTGTCCTGCCGGTGGCTCTCCTCCGCTTGCTTCTCGGACACGATCTCCTCGTCCATGGCTCTCGCCGCTCCGCCAGCGCCGTCCGAAGCCCCGGCCCAGCCAAAGACGCCCACTGCGAGGAGCAACCAGAGCGGCCGCATGAGCCGGCCAGCCCGGGGGCCGCCGCCGCCGACACCGCGGCGGAGGGGCGCCAGCAGCCAGCCGCGCCGAGCCATGACTCCCCCCGACCCCCGCCCCGCTCCTCACCCGCAGCCGCCCGCGGTCGGACCACTCCCCAAGGGCTCACGGGAAAGAGGCGGGGCCCCGGGGAAGCCGTCGGAGTGCGCGCCGCCGCTGCCGCCGCTCTTAAAGGGGACGCGACGCTCCTAGCTTGCTCTGCCCCATCCCTGTGCCCTTCTCTCCCTCGCCACTCCTGCTCCCCCCAGCCCCGGACGCGCACACTCAGGCGCTACAAGGAGATGAAAGGCCGTCGAATCTAGTCTACCACCTTTTACAAAAGAAGCCTCGATTCGGCGTAATCAAGCAGAGGCAGATTGCGCTATGTCTACTTTGATCCTATTCTTAGAGCTCCCAGGGGACTCAATCTTTCATAACTCATCCCAATATTGTCCCCCAGTGTCTCTTAACAGGATAAGAAGTTGTCTCCTTGGGAAGGGCCTAAATCTCTATCTCTGTAATTTGAATTGGATTCTCCTTGTTCTGTCCTCATTGGGAAAAAAACAACACTGTAGTAGTTCATAAAAGAATTGACTCAAAGCAAGGATTATGCGTGTGTCTGTATGTTCGGTTTTCTTTGCGTGTAAACACCTGCTATAAGTCATCTCTCACGCCAGGAACCTGTACAGAGAAACTCATCAGTCTTGCAAAGAAGATTCTGTCGGTTTGCGCTCAAATTTACCCGTGCTTCAAACACTCCTCTGCCTAAAGCAGAAATCTTTGTGGTGTGGTGGGTCTCTCCCGCTTCTCTCGCTCCTTTTCCTGCTGTCTTAAAGCAAATTTCCCCAGCTCGGAAGTCACCTTTAACACCCTCTCTCGTCTCTCTTCCTCAAAGAGTTTTTCTCTGTTTTCAGCCTCTGAATCTTGCACACCAGAATTTTCACAGTTCTCACCTCTTTGAACACAGAGGATTCCTATTTTCTCATCCTTATCAGATCACTCCTTAGGCTGTGTGGGCTTTTTGTTTTCTCTAGACTTGCATTTCCACCTCCACATGGATGATCTACAAGTCCCAGGCCCTAAACTGCCACCCTCCCTTCAGGCCTCTACCTGATGGATACTGAACATACTCTGTTGGGGCACCTATCAATCTCAAAACCGAAAATGTTTTAAAATGAGCTCATTTCCCCCCCCACAAACATGTATTCTTTCTCAAATTTTTCATACCACCAATGGTACTACTATCAATCCAATTCCTATCACCCTGCCTAGAATTCATGATTCTCAAATGTTTTCATCTCATGGCCATATAACCTCCTTGCTAAAACATCCAGGCAACTCCAGGCTGCCCCAGTGTGAATTCACTCCCACTAACCAGCTCTTTAAGCTCTGTGAGGATGGTGAGCTAAAAAAATGTACTAGAACGGGGTTCAACTCCAAGTTCTGTCCTTGCTGGGTCAGGAACTGTCCCAGCGACTGTGAGCTCATTCTCTCCTCTTAGTACCTGAGTCTGTCTGTGCCTTCCGAAGAAACCCCATGGTCGCCTGTCCCCTGTCCCCTGACTCCAGCCTAACCACACTTCCCTGCTCACACAGGGCTGGGCTTTGTAGAGGCAAGAAACCCAGGTTAGGATCCTTCCCAGTGTCCCCACTGCCCCCTCCCCAGACCTATCTTGGTCACCACAGAAGACTTAGCAAATGAGTTTACCTGCTTCTTTAGGCCTAACTACCTAATCCAAGGCTGTTTTGCCTCATCACAAAACCATTTTTCTTTCTCCTAGTGTCTGGAACTTGAAAAAAACAAAGTCACAGATTGCATGCCTGTCTTCAAGCCTCAGAATTTACCTCTGTTTATAAGGCCCCAGCAACTTAGTATGCCTCCCCCCGCCAGCAATCTCTTTATATTCGAGTTGCAGGAGGAATCTTGAGATGGCAATAACTTTACCAAGTGAGCCAATCCCTATGATCCTTTGGCTCCCCTCAGAATGTACTTCTCTCCCAACCCAACACTGCTCTATGCTTCTGACTCTCCCCCCCCAGTTTCTCCTCCCACTACTGCCCTCCCTGCCAATCCTTGTCATGTGCTTTCTAGAATGCCCTCCATTATGAACAAACTACCCAACCCTCTCAGTTGCTACATTGATGCCCCCTTTGTCTCCTTTTACCAGTACCTGAATCTCGCCCAGGACATCACGTGCTCTGAAACTGTTTCAAGTGGAGGTTATTTCCTTATCGCCCCACTGTCCCCCACACACATGCCCACATACACACAACTCGCCCTCTGTCATGTGGCCTGAAGGAGGAGTTGGCACTCAGCTCACTCCCCTTTGTTGTTCCAAGTTCATTACTCCTCCACCCTTCATTGAAGCTCTAACACCCTCTCTTTTTCTTGGCATCTAATGACTTCCTGGTCACTCCCACACATTCACGGAGGACTTGGGAGTTTGGTTCACAGCTTCCTCTCCCCCCTGCTCCAGCTCTGCCATTGTCCTGGGTGACCTCCATGCTCACACAGACAAGTCACCTGGAATTTGAGCCTTGCCTCCTTTTTCACTGGGAAAATCAAGATCCTCAAGAAAACAGTCCTCACCTTCCTTACCCTGCAACCTACTTAAATATCCCATCAGTGCCCATCCTTTCTTCTTCCCCTCTAGCATCAGTGGAAGAGGTGTTTCCTCCTCTCTTATGAAACTTATGCCTCAGTCTGTACTCTGCCTTCCATCACCTCCTCCCTGCCTCTTCCAAGGAGGGAACAGCCATCTCCCTCCACCATCATCAATGGCTCCTTCTCCACTATCTCTTTCTGTTCTCTAAAACCACTTTCAGGTCTCTTCTGAGAAACAGCCCTTCTTCTACACCCCTCTCTACTACAGCACTGTTTCTCCCCTCCCCTTCAGAGAGGAGCTTCTCAAAAGAGTTGTATACGTTGTCCACACTCCCATCCGCTAGTCCAGGGATTAGCAGAGTACAGCTGACCAAATCCAGCTTCCTATTTTTGTATAGCCTGAAACTAAGAATGCTTTTTACATTTTTTAATGGTTGAAAAAAAATCAAAAGAGGAATAATATTTTGTGATGCGTGAAAATTATGTGAAATTCACACTTCAGTGTCCATCAATAAAGGTTAATTAGCCACGGCCATGCCCATTTGTTTACTCATAGTCTGTGGCGGCTATTGCACTACAAGGCAGAGTTGAGTCTAGTTGTAAAGGAGACTAGAGCCTGCAAAGCCTGAACGATATACTGTCTGCTCCTTGACAGGAAAGGTCCGCAGACTTCTGCCTTGGTCTCCACCAGTCATTCCTCCACACTTCTACCAGAGGGGTCTTTCTGAAGCACAGATCTGATTATGTATATCACAGCCCTGCTCCAAACCCTCCAATGGCCTCATTGCCTTCAGTTCTGGCTCCTTAACCTGGCACACTATGCTCTACACGTCCTGACTCCGAACTGCTTCTCTACCCTATATCCTGTCCTTCTCCCCAGAATATATTTTGCTTCAGCCATTCTGAACTCCTTGTAGTTTCCCGAATACTTCATATGGTTTCATACATCTGTGTGCCTTTCCCTGTGTTCCCTCTGCTTGGGTAGTCCTTCAACCCCTTCCTCACCTAACTAAATTCCACTCATCTGACAAAACTCAGTTTAAAGGTCATCAAGCCTTCCAGGATGCCCTCAGGTTGAGTTAGGAGCTCCTTGTATGGGTTCCTGCAGCCCCCTGGGCAAATCTCTCTCTTAGCCCTCCTGAAGTATTATCATGTTCGATTTACATGTTTACCTTGAGGGCAGGAACCAGGTGTTACTTATTTCTTTACTGACAGCATCTAGCACAAAGCCTAACCAAATAGGTACTCAATAAAACATATCTGATGGGGCCGCTTCTGGTGCGCTTCACTGCAGCGACCTGGGTTCGCAGGTTCAGATCCTGGGCACGGACCTACACCACTCATCAAAGCCATGCTGTGGCGGTGACCCACATACAAAATAGAAGAAGAATGGCACAGATGTTAGCTCAGGGCTAATCTTCCTCAAGCAAAAAAAGAGAAAGATTGGCAACAAATTTTAGCTCAGAGCGAATCTTCCTCACCAAAAAATCCAAGAAAACAAATAAAACATATCTGAGCCTCCCTAAATGTCTCTCTTTTCCCCCCCCCCAAAGCCCCAGTAGATAGCTGTATGTCATAGTTGCACATCCTTCTAGTTGCTGTATGTGGGATGCGGCCTCAGCATGGCCGGAGAAGCAGTACGTCGGTGCGCTCCCGGGATCCGAACCCGGGCCGCCAGCAGCGGAGCGCGTGCACTTAACCACTAAGCCAAGGGGGCCGGCCCCTAAATGTCTCTTAAATTTAAGTGAGTACCAAGGAAATCTCCATGTTTGCAGACGACATTAAATTCTCCTAGGGACAGAGATTCAGTTCAAAGATAAACTGAAAGAGGACATTACAGTACTGGGTACATAGTAAGTGCTCAGTAAATACTTGATAATCGAAAAGTGTAGATAAGTTTTGTCCAGTGCTTAGCACAGACCTTGGTTCATTGGAGGTGCTTGACAAACACTGAATTAATTAATTCATGTATTGGGGGAAACGCTGAAAAGCTAAGGTGAGGCCATCTTGTGGAAGGTCTTCATGCTGCAGACAATTTTAACTCATTCATTTCCCTGATCAAAACCTCCCCAATATTAATTTGGCAGCAGAAAGTCGGGGGGGGAGGAGGCGAATGAAATGCAGAGAGATGGGCAGTAGGGGAGGCCAGTTAAGAGGTTAGAAAAGTAGTCTTGCTGATAAGCAGTGAGGCCTTAACTTATCGGATACAGTAGGAACGGAAATGGGAGGCTGGATGCAAGAGCCACGGAAGAGGTGGGATTAACCTGTCTTGGCAATTGATTTGGTGGGTGGACGGGGAACACTTGAGGAAGAGGGATTTAAAGATTACTGCAAGGTTTTGAACCTGGATACCTGCAAAATATAGGATTGCTAATGGCATTAAAATGGGAGCCAGAAGGTAATGCTTGGCTCTGGACAGGTTGGATTTAAGGGACAGGTGGGATATCCAAGTGGAGGTATCAAAATAGGCAGTTAGAAGCTTGGGTCTGGAGTTCAGGAGTGAAGTCAAGACCAGCGATATACTTGGGAGCTATATAGTCATCCCTCAGTCTCCACGGGGGATTGGTCCCAGGAGCCCCTCGGATGCCAAAATCTGTAGATGCTCAAGTCCCTTATATAAAATGTCATAGTTTTTGCGTATAACCTATGTGCATCCTCCTGTATACTTTAAATCATCTGTAGATTACTTATAATACCTAATAAAATGTAAATGCTATGTAAATAGTTGTTATACTGTATTGTTAAGGGAATAATGACAAAGAAAAAAGGTCTATACACCTTCAGTACAGATGCAACCATTGTAGGCCTTTCCATCTGTGGTTGGTTGAATCTGCGGATGTGAAACCTGCGGATACAGAGGGCCACCGTATGCACAATGCTGAAGCTGTGGGAGTTCATGTGTTCTCCAAAGAAGAAAGGGTAGAAAGAGACCTAGTCTTAGGGCAGTAGTATAGGGAATGCCTATCTTCAAAGAGTAGAAGAAAGAATAGGTCACAACTATCAGTTAGAACCAAGTATAATTATGCTGGAGTTTTCAGTTTGTTTCCTGAACATACCAGCCCAATGTGCTAAAAGAGCAAATAAGATTTTTGGTGTCATTGCCAGTATCAAGGCTATTTGAAATGAATAATCATATTAACCTCAGACGAGTAACCTAGGATACTATGTGCAGATGTGGTAACGAAACCCCAAGAGAGATATTAGTAGATCTGGAAATGGTCCAGGGAAGAGCAATTAAAATAATCACATGGGAGAAGCAACTGATGTTTTAGGAAAGAGTAAGTGGATAAAGAACCTCTTCGGTCTGAAAAAAAATAGTTAGAAGAGTCAACAGCAGCAGCAACGACAATAATAATAACGGCTAACATTTATTGAGTGCTCACTACGTGTGAGATTATTCTAAACAATTTATTGCATTGTCTCACTCAATCCCGACAACAATCTTATCAGGTAAGTACTATTATTATCCCCACTTTACAGATGAGGAAACTGAAGCACAGTTAAGTAACTTGTCCCATCTCCCAGAGGTGGTGAAGAAGAAGCCAGGATTCAACCCAATTTGATTCTACAGCATATGCTTTTAACCACGGTAGTATCAACCACCCAGCAAACAAATCTTAAAGATAGGAATCAAGTAACCACAGTCTTGTTTACTAAGATTCAAAACTTAAAATACCAAGGCACCACTTAATGCTTTAAGAGGAATACATCGTTTTGTTTGAATTTTGTACACTGAGCACACGTCACTTTTGCAAAGAAAAAAAATAAAGAGGGTGCAATTTCAATATAAATATTGAAAATGCTACTTTACCCAGCAAGTAGTAAACTTCTCGAATTTGTTACCCAGGGAGGTTGTAATAAATATAAATAGCTTGAAGAAAGTTTTAGTACCTATAATAGATATATACCTCTTATAGATACCTACGATAATCGGGAACGTATTCCTAGGGAAAGTGGATTTTCGAACTAGGTAGAAAAGAAAAGAGTGTGCTAGCTAGAGGGAGAATCTGCATGGGAAATGGAGACATGGATTAGTTACTCATGTATGAAGTTACTCATCCAGTTGAGTGGCATATAACAAACTTAATTAACTTGAAAACAACTTGGGGATTGCCATGCTTTCTCTATTCAATGGACTATGCTGAGGAAACGTGATGAGTCTTCATAAATAACATCTCAGTAGGAAATGCTTTAGAGATCATTATCTCCACCTTTAATAATATCCACATCATTTATCCACCGTGCATATGGAAAATGGCTGTTTCTTTGGGAAAACTGAAGGAAGGCCCTTCTGGGGTCACCTAGGAATTTAAATGCTCTTTCTCATGAGGTTTGACTTTTGTTCTAAGAGCTCATGAAAACAGTGCTGCCACTAGCCGTACCTTGCACCTTTGGGATTAACTCCAACCTAGAGAACAATGTTATGAGTGGACCCAAGGTACTTACTTGAATGATACAGTCCTTGGTAACTGTGACTATGAATACCTTGGCTTCCCTTCAAGTTGGAATCTACAGATAAGACAATTAAAATCCCACTCCATGAACATGAGTTAACCATTTATTTCTAGAAAATGTGAAACTAGCCTAATTCCTTTTGCATTCAGTACATGGGTAAGAGATTCAAACGAAGAGAGTTGGGAATGCATTTTAAGAGGGTAATGGAGAAAACTAAATTCAATGCCTGAAGACTAGGATAATGTATTGGTGGCTTATACAAATACCAGATTCCTTACTAGCTCTCTATTTTTCAATAACCTCATCTTTTTAAAAGAAAGGAACCAAATCTCAGCTCCTTTAAGAAACTTCCTAATCATTTTCTGCTTCAGATAAATTAATATTAGAAGAGATAACCTAATAGGGTACCTGAAAAGGCTAATTTTAATTTGACCACTATCAAAGCTAAAACAAAGTTTTAAGATTTTGGGGGGTCAACTAACTTTTCTATCTTGTCACCTTCCAGGGGTGGAGAAGGATGTACTTTCCTGTCAAGTACACAGAGATTATTTCCTGGTTCTTCTTGATTGTGAAGTTTATACATAGGACTACCTTTGTAAGGAATATATTATACTGTACTTGACAGTGATCAAGTACTGTGTCAAATCTTGGCTTAGAGGTGAAGAAATTGGAAAGAGCCTAGAGAAAAATAATGACCATAATTAAAGGTCTGGAAAATGGGATCCAGGACAAAAACTATATAGGTAAAGTTGAGGAAATCCGATGACTCTTGGATGCCTTCTTTATTTTCTAGTTTTTTTCAGCTTTGAGGAAGCTCAAGCATATCAGAAAATGTTTATCATGAATCAAAGGATTATCAAAATTTAAGACTGCATACAAGTCCACAGGAATTTTTGATCCCAATTCAAAATAATGAAAGGACTCTATAGAGATCCTTTCAAACAAGGATACATCCCTCCCCCCTCCTTTCCCACCATTCATTCATTCCTTCAACAAACATTTATTGAATGCCTAATGGGGCGGCCTGTGGCTTAGGAGTTAAGTGCTCGACCTCCGCTACTGGCGGCCCGGGTTTGGATCCCTGCGCGCAACAACGCACCGCTTCTCCGGCCATGCTGAGGCCGTGTCCCACATACAGCAACTAGAAGGATGTTCAACTATGACATATAACTATCTACTGGGGCTTTGGGGAAAAAAGGAGGAGGACTGGCAATAGATGTTAGCTTAGAGCAGGTCTTCCTCAGCAAAAAAAAAAAAAAAACAAGAGGATTAGCATGGATGTTAGCTCAGGGCTGATCTTCCTCAAGAAAAAAAAATGCCTACCATGTGACAGGCACTGTCCTAGGCATAGACAGAAATCTCTGTCCTGTTGGAACTTACATTCCAGTGGGGGGAAGGGACAGTAAACAATAACAACACGACAAATACAATACATAGGTAAATTATAGAGTATGTTAGAAGGTTATATAAAAATAGAGCAGACTGAGGGGATCAGGAATGGGAAGACTGCAAATTTAAAAGGGGTGGTCAGGATAGGCATCTTTGAGCAAGTGAGAGTGAGCAAACTGCTGCAGCTAAAACGTAGAATTCTGATAAGGTTGAGTGGAAAGAATGACGATCATACTTTGCATTTACCTTGTGATAGGCAGTTTACAAAACTGTGTCAATCAGTCGGGGGCGGGGGGAGGAGTTAGGGCAGAGTCTGGAAAAAAGGGTGAATTCCGTTTTGGCCATATTAAGTTTAAAGTGCCGCAGGATAGAAATAAATGACCAGCAGGTAGTCAGAAATGCAGGTCTGGAGCTAAGGAGAAACATTTGAGATAGAGACGTCTATTTGGAATACTGACGACGGCTGAAGCGGTGGGAATGAATAGGTGAGCTCGCCAAAGGACAGCAGAATGAAGAGGTCAAGGGGATAACCTCACTATTGAATGTCTACATTTTAGGGGATGAAGACAAACAAAAATCGAGAAAAGAGGGTACATTTTATTCTGATCAGAGAAAGAGGCAAAGATGGGCCTGCGTTGTTAGCATCCTTACCTTCCTTCCCTTTCACTTCTCCCTAATGTAAACTGGTTTTCTTCATGACAAAACACTCCCGCCGCCCTACACCCCTTTGGACACGAAATCTTTCTTAAAGACCTTTTGAAGGTAAGGAGAAGAGAACAAACTTGTACTGAGGATCCCCCGCGTGCCACGTGTTTGGGGCTCCAAATCCCGGGTTGTTTCCCTCTACACTCCACCCGCCTCCTCGCTTTCACACCCTTGCCTCCTTCCGCAGTGCCGGTTTCTAGGGGGCTGAAGCAAGGCAAGGCCGACAGGAATCAAAGCACACAGCTTGAGGGAAAAGCAAAACAAACAAAACCAACAATCCCCCGCCAGGGGTAGAGACCCAGCACCGACAGCCTCTAACCACCGCACCCAGTCCCCGGTCCCGCTGCCCCACCCGGGCCTCTCGCAGGCCCCGCCCTTTGCCCCGCGGCCCTCGCTCATTTGCTGGCGCCCTTCCTCCCCGCTTCCCAATTGAGCCTGTTTTCGCCTCTTCTTTGACGTCCTCGGCTCAGCTCCGCCTCTCGCAGGGAGGCAGCGCAGCGCAGGTTAGGTTCGTAGGCACTAGCGGACCTTTTTCCGTATCTCTGTCCCCTTCTTCCCGGCATTCCTGTTTCCGCTTTCTCACGGCTCTTCGGTTTTTCCCCTTCTGAGGCGCTTCGCGCCTAGGGGTTCAGTGACGTCATCTTTCTGCGCTGCGCGGACGCCCGCCGGTGGAAGAAGGAACAGCTCCGCCGCCCTTCGCTGCTTTTGTTGGGCTGCTGCTCCTCCGGAATCATGGCGCCGTCACTGTGGAAGGGGCTGGTGGGCGTCGGCCTCTTTGCTCTAGCCCACGCGGCCTTTTCCGCCGCACAGCGTAAGTGCCTGGGGGACGGGGACCGCTCCCGTGAGGGACTCCGGGGGCGGTGTGTGGGTGCACCTCCGGGGGAGTGTCGGACCGAGTGTCCCAGGAACCGTCATTTGAGACCTTAGAGTTTGCGGTGACTACGAGAAGCGGCACGGAGCTCCCCGGTGGAAGGCTTGGATTCTGAGTGTGAGGAGAGTGGGACACCTGAGATTGCAGCAGGGTTGGAAGGGGGTGTCTGGGAGAGGGCTCCGAGCGGGAAGTGCGGGCTGCAGGGTGGGCAGGGAGGGAGTCTGTCTGGGAATGCAGGACAAGAGATGTCAGATCCAGCGTGGGGCTGGTCAGGCAAAGTGTCAGATTGAGAACCTCGGATGCTCATGGTCTCATGACAACTAGGTGGACAACATCTTGGGCACTCCTGGGCTGTCCAGGCAGAGACTGAGAAGTTAAGTGACCGTTTGCATCAGGGAGGCACTGTGGTACAGGGGAAAGAGCATTGGACTGGAAGTCTAGAGGGCTGTTCTTAAAAACTTGCTTTACCGCAAAATCTTTGTGACCTTGGGCAAGTCATGTCCCTTCTCTGAGGCGTCGTTGAGGTGGATTTTAATTCCTGCCCTTTCTGTGTCAGAGTGGGAAGTCTAAATTTAAAAAAAAAGTAAAAGTACTTTATCTTACAAATACAGTCGTGTGTATCGTCAAGAAGAAACTTGGAGTCTAGCAGAGTATGCAGTGCAGTCTTGAGAAAGCTGGTCTATTTTAAGCTCTTCCTTCTCTCCTAGACCAGGGGTCAGCAAACTCTGGCATGTGGGCAAAATGCAGCCTCCCTCTTGTTTTTGTAGTGAGCTAAGAATGTTTTGACATTTTTAATTTGTTGGGGGAAAAAGCAAAAGAATATCATTTTATGATCCATGACAAATACATAAAATCCAAGTTTCAGTGTCCATCAATGAACTTTTATTGGCACACAGCCACGCCCATTCATTTAGGTATTGTCTGGCTGCTTTCTAAGGGCAGAATTGAATAGTTGCAATAGAGACAGTACGGCCTGCAAAGTCTAAAATATTTATCTGGCCCTTTACAGGAAAAGTTTGCTGGCCCTTTCCTAGCCTATAGAGCCCATGAGAACAGGGACAATGTATATTTTGTTCATTGCTGTAATCTCAGTGCCTAGCACAATGTTCCCCACAGTAGGTACTCAGTAAATTTGTTGAATGAAGAAAATGAATTCAAAGTTGAACTTGATTCATTTGCTAGATTACTAAAACTAATAAGTAGAAATAATGTAGAAAATGAAATGTGAATTCCTTCAAAGCTCTAATTTTTTTAAGATAAAAGCTTTTGTTCCATTTATTATATGTAATTAAGATAATCCAGTTATTTTAACTACTTTTTACATATATGTATTGTGACATTTACCTGACAAATTCACCTTTTTTAAATAATTTCTTTTTGAAATTTCAGGTTTACGGAAAAGTTGCAAAGATAGTACAGAGTGTTACTGTATACCCCTCACCCAGTTTCCCCCATTGGTAACATCTTACATTACCGCGGTATATTGTCACAACTAAGAAACTGACATTGGTATATTACTATTAACTAAAGTCTAGCTTTTATTTGGATTTCACCAGTTTTTCCATGAATGTCTTCTTTCTATTCAAGGAATCAATCCAGAGTATCACATTACATTTAGTTGTCATGTTTCCCCTGTATCCTCTGTTCTGTGACAGTTTCTCCAAAGCTCTAATCTTTAATGATAACAGTAATAATAGCTAACATTCTTAAGTGCTTATCATGTGCCAGGCACTGAACTAAGCACTTTACATGATCATATAATTCAGTCCTACCAAAAGCCCTGTGAGAGGTAGCTATTATTGTTATCGTTGCCTTTGAAAGATGAAGAAATTGAGACACACAGAGCTAGGAAACTTGCACAGAATTACAGAGATGATAAATGATGGGGCCAGGATTCAAAGAGAGGCCGTTTGGCTCTAGAACCTATGTGCTACACTGCTTATAAAATTCAGTCTCGGGTAATTGGTTGAAATTGCTCTGTGCTTGGGTGCCAGAGGGACAGTGATGCCCTGAGGGAGTTCAAAGTCAAGTGGAGAAACAAGTGGATCCAGAAATAAGCACTTAAAGTGATACAGATGCTATGCTAAAATATGTAAAGATAGATGGAGACAAGGGCAGTCATTTTTCTGGTGCAAGGGGTTAAGGAAAGTATCCTAGAGCCTTGCGGCTCAAGGGACCAGCATCGTGGGAATTACCTGGGAGCTTGTTAGAAATGCAGAAACTCAGGCCCCACCCCAGGTCTGTTGAATCCGAATCTGCATTTTAACAAGATCCCCAGGTGATTTGTATGCACATTCCTTTGAGAAACGCTGCCCTAGGAGAGAGTAGGATTCTGTGGAGTCCTTCATCATTTTCTACAATAGGCTTCAGCTGTAAAATTTTACAGTACTAGAGCAAGAAGATGGCTGAAGTCCAACCCCTTCGTTTTACCGAGGAGGAAATGCCTGGTTAAGAGTAGTGTTAGAGTCAGATTAGGCTTCATGCAAAGAAGAAAGCTAGCTGGGAATTGAACAGACAGTAGGAAGTTAGCCAAAACCTATTTTTGGTATTGGTTTGATTTTTCTTTTACACCTGTCCTTATGATAAACCGTGTAAGATAAAACTTCAAAAAAGTTTCCAAACACATTCTTTTTTAAGAGTCAATATGCGTTCACTCACAACAATTTGGGTTCTTTAGTCCACAGTACATTATTAAATACAGATTGTGCAAGGTTCCTCTAGAATTAGGATTTTGTGTTGTTATGTTTCCCATGAGATGAATTGTGGCGTTTGTCACTGCATTGAACCCCTTTATAATGCTGAAGTTGGAAAGAGACCAATATTTACCTTTGAGGCTGTGTCATGTCAGATTGTGGCAGCAGACACTATGGTGCTGTGGCATGCTCATTTTTGCCGTGATGAACTTTATGGCAGAGTGCCTATCATGTATCTCTTTAGTCCTCACATTCTTCCCATTTTACTGTTGCAGAAACTTAGGCAGTGAAAAGATAGTGTATTTCTTTGATTCTAAGACACACTCACCCTCCCCCTCCTACATTTTAACACTCTGAAATTGAGATACATGTTACAATCCATGAGAGTGTGTTACATTGAATGAGATATAGTCAATTACAGTAAGTTGAAGAGCTGGTGTTATGATCCAGGCTTTTCAGCTTCCAAATCCTGATCGTTTTCTTCGTACCTTGCTGCCTCCTGAGGCTAAGGCAGCAGCAGAATTATAATTAAATCATAGAAGCAGAAATTGATGCCCTGGAATTTCTCCTATTCCACCACTGCCCCAGCATATTCTCTCAGGAAAAACATTTCCATACCAATATTGCTTTGTCTACACTATGTGATGGTGGTGCTATTTCAGGGTTGAGATTTTCTGTAGACTTATTAATTTTTAAATAATTGTGATTTCTTTGACTGGTGAGTGAAAGAATTTCAGAGGATTCTAGTTTTCCTGTGGTAATGAAAGAAAAATTATGTTTAAGCATTTCTTCCTTATACTCGCTCACCTTTTGCTCTTGTCCTCTTTTATAAAGTGACAAAGCAGGTCATGATGAGAATAAAATAGTTCAAGATCAGGTCGACTGCCTTAGAAGATAGAGGTTTTTGAGGAATCCAGGATTAGCATTACTTTATGTAGCATATAAGTCAGCTGCTTCTTTGGTAAATTGATTTGCTTGCATTTTAAGAAAGAAAAATGGGCTACAATTTCCTTAATGGTATGCTTCTGGTTTATAGATCGTTCTTATATGCGATTAACAGAAAAGGAAGATGAATCACTGCCAATAGATGTAAGTTGGTCATTTATATTCCATTAAAATGTATTTTAAAAATTAGCCACATAGCTTATAATAATTTTTTACAGGTTTTTATTCTCTTAAAATCTTCCAGATATGAAATTACACCTGTTCTCTACTTTTTGTCACTCATTGTAAAACCGAAAGATGTGGAAACCAAAGATTTATGTGTTTGGCTTCTAGAACTGTAGTTTAAATAGTCTTTCTAGAAGTTGCTCTGTCCGTAGTCTAAGATGGACATAAAAAGTTGACTATTTGACTTTATTTTTTAGACAAGTTCCTTTTATATATAAAGTTTAAAAACAAGCAAAACTAACAAAACTTTGTTTAGGGACATATACGTAGATAGTTTAAAAAAACACTTCTTTGTTTTTCTTTAGTTTTACTAAAATGATAGGTGAGCTTCATTCACAATTTTTATCTTTATTGGATTTTAAATTACAAAAGTAGTAAGTTCTTTATAAAAGAATCAAACAGTAAGTGTAAAAAGTAGAATACAGTTAAAAAAAAAAGAGTGACTCCACTACTCAGCAATTCTACTTCTATTCCTGACAGTTTGGAGTATATCAGTAGTTCAGTTTTCTTCCTGTGCATAAACAACATTGTCTTTCTTTATGTATGTATGGTTTTACCTAATCAAAACACAGAGTTTTTCTTTAAAAAGTTATTATGCATGTGTATATAGTTTTATACTTAGCTTTTTTATTACTTAGCAATTTATCTTGACATATTTTCATGACACATACATTTACCATATTCTTGTTGCCTGTGCCTGTGCTTGCATTGTATGAAATAGCTCTTGGTGCACTGGTGGTGGGAATGTAAACTGGTGTAACATATGACGTTAGTTTTTAATTTAAAAAGAGTAATAGCTTGTGGCTAATTTTGACTTTAGTTGTCTATACTTAAAGATATGGTAGATGTGGCTATTAACTTATTCTCCCATCACCTTTGCTTTGTGCTAGATACGTACACACACACACATTCATTTATATCTATTTAAAAATAACTTTCTTCTGTTTACAAATTGGAAAATTTGAAAAATACAGAAGATCACCATCAAGAAAATAAAATATGCCTGTAATCCCATGTTGATTAATATCAAACATTGCAAGTTTTTGATTGCACAACGTCTTTGGAAAGCAGTTTGGTGTTATCTAATAAAGTTGAATGTGTGTATGCTCTCCACCAGTGATTCTACTCCCATGCACCAGGACACATACACAAGGATATCCATATTGACATCATAAGAGTAACATGCAGGAAACAGCCCACATAGCCGTCAACAGTGGGATGGATAAATTGTGGTATTTTCATATAATGAAATACAAAACACAATGAAAATGAATGGACTACAACTATATACCACAACAGGGATGAATCTCACAAAAAAAGTTCAAAATGGGAAAAAATAAACAATATATGTTTTAGAGGTACATACATAGCTGGTAAAATTATAAAGAAAAGCAAGGAACTGATTAATACACAATTCGGGACAAGAGTTAACTTTGAGAGGGAGGGTGAAGAATATAATTGGAGTGGGACACATGGAACTTGAAAGGTATTGGTAATGTTCTAAAGCTGAATGCTGGGTAAGGGATGTGCTTTTCTGTATTCTATGATGTTTAACAATAATACATTGAACAATTCTTAGTTGCTCTTGGAAGCAGGTAATAGTTGATAACTGAGTTCTGAATGGCTCAATACCTGTTTTTGCTATTTGAGCAAAACCCAAAAGTGTTTTTGCAGCCCATCCACAGAATTTCTAGAAGACTGTATTGTGTCTGAGTCCAAATCATTTAAAGTGAGAATTGACTCCTTGATAGGATCTGGGAGAAATACCTGTTAGAGGCTAAAAAGAGATGGAGAGAAAATTACAAACTTTTACAATAATACTTGTGTGTTGTTTAGTAATCTCAATCTTTATACTCACAGATAGTTCTTCAGACACTTCTGGCCTTTGCAGTTACCTGTTATGGTATAGTTCATATTGCAGGGGAGTTTAAAGACATGGATGCCACTTCAGAACTAAAAAATAAGTAAGTCTTTCACTTTTCATAGGCATTTAATTTCATAGGGGTTTTGCTTCATTTATGTAATTTAAAATGTATGTTTTCTGGTACATAAATGTTGGTTTTGTTTTTATGTTTTGATTATGCAGTTTGTATGAGTAATGAGGTAAAAATATTGAGGCAGTGTTTGATATGATAGGAAAAATGGAAGTTGAATGACAGATTATTGACATTAGGATTGCTTAAAATTATTTGTTGGTTGGTTGGATGAACAGATGGATGGAAATAGATATATAGGAAGATATTCCCTTAGAAATTTTTCCCTCCCTCCCTCCTATCTCTGTTTGCCTCTGACCTTCCTTTCTTCCTTCTTTCCCTCCCTCCTACCTTATCTCCCTCCCTCCCTTCCTTTTTCGTCCTTTTATCATCTTGTCCCAGCTTAGTCTTTGGAAGAATAAGGGATTTTCTGTTTCCTCTATCACTTGAACCTAGTCTGTGACATAAACTCTGCTCTCAGGCCCTTTTCTATCCGTAGATTCAAGTATATTTGTTATTCTGCTTTCTTTTTTCTCCTACATGTCTTCTAAGCTATTTTCATGAGCTTTGCTCACTTTTCTTTTCCATATTTCTTACTTTCATAAAATCAACCTTTAGCTTTGTTCAGTTCCATCTTTGGACTTTGCCCACCTTCTTGATCCTGGAAATTTTAACCCTTTACGATATTTCCTTAGGATTCCCCATAAACATTTATGTGTTAGAGGAAACTCACCCCCTTTTCCTTCTACTTTTTAATTTACATTTTAAGTAGTCACATCTCAGGCTTCCTGTTTTATGTGGGGGTATGCTTGGATTTTTAGGTGGGCTGACTTTGAGATTTGAGTTTTTATCAAAGGAAGAGTTCTTTTTTTTCCCCCAGGAAAATAATTAAAAATAAGCCAACACTAAAAGCCATACACTTAGGTGTTTGTGAACTTTTTTTAGACTACATATATCTCGCTGGAAGAGAAGAGAGGATACTCTACTATCACCACCCACTACTGTTCTTACAGAGAGTCTACTAGGAATCGCAGGCAAGGGGCCAGGAAAGAAGTAAAACAGAATGGCATGAAGTAGGTGGTAGCAAAATATATGAATTTAGTAGGTGGTAGCAAAATATATGAGTTTGGACAACAGCAGGTACAGAAGGGCCAAAAGAAATTTTTTGTTGTACTTGAAAGATTCTTGGAAAACAGATCTGTGAAATGGTCATATGGCTTGAATAGTGAGGGCCAAATGAGAATAATCAAAAGTACTATCTGTGTGTTGGTATTTTAAAAGATTGTTTGGCCTGGGCTAGTGTTAAATTTACATAGGTGATTAAAGTTGAGCAATTATTTGTGTTATTATTCATAGGCATCCTGAAAGGAATGGTGGCATAAAAAAAAATTCGAGGGCTTTTCTTGCTTTTCCGGGTTTCTTACTTTGCTTGTACAGGAAAAAAAATGAGATATGGTATGATTACCATGTATAGTCTGATTTCATGGATTTAAACTTAGTTAAAAATATAACCCATAGCAAATTCATAATTCATTAGAAACCTGCTTATTTTCAAACACACTTTTATAAAGGTTTATCTAAAATTGATGCTTTTTTTCTTTTAAGGACATTTGACACATTAAGGAATCACCCATCATTTTATGTATTTAATCATCGTGGTCGAGTACTGTTCCGGCCTTCGGATACAACAAATTCTTCAAACCAAGATGCATTGTCCTCTAACACATCATTGAAGTTACGAAAACTTGAATCACTGCGTCGTTAAGATTTTTACAAATTATAGTAATAGGACAGGACACAGAGCTGGAATATTGGAGTTTGGGGTATGAAACACTCCCCATCAGTATTTATATTGATCTTTCAGACCTAATTAAAAAAGTCTATGGCCCTTGTTTGTACACTGTTAATCAAATCATTAATGCAGTATAAGTTATCTGTGAAATGAGTCTTTGGTCTTTCATAGAATTATTTTTTTTCATTTAAAACAAATTCACATCTTTTGTAAAAGTCACTGTTTTGAACACATTTCTTTGAAAAATGTTGATGGTTTCGTAATTATTTATTTTCTTAGATTTCTTTTGCACTACAGTTTTTAGGATTCTTTTGGAAATAGTGTGACTACTGCATTTTGCAGCATGAATGATGGTAAAATGGTCTTCAGTTCTTAATAACAAATGGACTTCTCTAAAGAGACCAAAATGGTGACTTACCAGTTTTTCTTATGCCCTCTAAAAAGTGGCTCTGCTTCAGCAGGTACTTGCCAGTTTTTAATTTATCCATGACTTCTCACCCCGCTCTCTCCCATATACCTTCTAACATCAGCTGTCTTGTTTCATCACTTCTCTGGGGTTCTGTGTGCAGTGAACAATTTTTGTGTCAGAAATCCTTTGTCATAACAAGTATATTTAACAAACTCAGCTTGTTGTAAAGCTACTTGTGTTCTCTTCATTTATCTGTAAAAAAATTCCCTAATTGATTTTGTAGTGTGAGAGTAGTTGAAGATAGACCAAAAAGACCATTCATGATTTAATTATCCTGCCTATGTAAAAGAATAGTAATCACTGACGAAAACTTGTTGTTAGCCAGTTTAACTTATTCAAAGTCTCTGTTATTTTATTGCGTACTAAACTAATGAATTAGTGAAAATGAAGGATACATCTCATTAAAGGTAGACTTCAAAGGAGTTGGGCCAAATATGTTCTAAATATTTGGAACTAATGTCTTGAATTTTAAAAAAGGTCATTTAAGAAATTGTTTCGTAGCTTCTGATTTGTGGCAGGCTTAGAGTTTTCCATCTTCATTGTATGTTGCTGAAGGTGAGGATGAGGTACAGAGTAGAATTTTTTTAGAAACAGTAATTTTAGTTTTGGGGCAATTTGGCTAACTTTGATCTGCGGGAAGCTTAACATTTCTTTGTAGAGAATGTTGCTTTTGTTGAATTGTACAGGTATGAAAACATTGCTTTTGTTTAATTTATAGGTGTAAAGGGATTAACTATATGCAAATTTGAAAAGGAAATGTGCTTTAGGCAAGAGTCATAAGATGCCTTTACACTTGATGGCGTTTTTTCCATTAGAAATGAACCTCAGCTCTTCTATTCTTCCTGGTAACACACAGCCCCAAAGCATGAGATTATTTTGTCATTGGGTTTTTATTGTTGTTGAGTTGTTTTGTTTGCCAACCAGTTTGTCTGTGGAATACTGACTCTGCCTGCTATCTAAGGAGAACAGAGTCAGAAATCTGATAACCTAAAATAATTTAGAAATAAGTTAAAAATGTGAAGTCAGGGGTTAAAGTTGTGGTAATTAAATCAAAATATTGTGCAAGAATCAAACTCCTTACATCAGACTTGTCTACTGTTTCCTCAGGTCTGACGTGATTTGCAAGAGCCTGTTGTTTTCTTCTCTTTGGGGCTGTCTTCCTTTCCTAATATGTTTTTATAACAACTTTATTGAGATATAATTTACATAGCTTACAATTCACCCATTTAAAGGGTACGATTCAGTGATTTTGTAATATATTCCCAAAGTTGTGCAACCATGACCACAGTCAATTTTAGAGCATTTCCATCACCCCAAAAAGAAACCCTGTAGCCTTTAGCTGTCACGTCTCATTTTCCCCCAGTGCCTCCCAGCCCTGGGTAACCACTAATCTACTTTCTGTCTCTGTAGATTGCCTATTCTGGTCATTTACTATGAATGAATTTGTACAATATCTGGTCTTTTGTGACTAACTTCCCAAATATGGTTTTGTTCTATGTGGGGTGAGAACTTCGCATCTTGAGAACTGTGTTTGTTGTGAAAGGCAGTTGTTGGTAAAAGGGAGATGTGAAGAGGGAGGGTCAGATACCTAACAGGTTTCTCAGTCAATCTTGTACTGAATAGGTTTTCCTCATAACCAAGCATTCATGATATACTACTACTAATAATTTTTTTCGCTAGTCTCTAGAATGGATATTGAAACCTTTGCCCTGTCAGGAAAGTCCTGCTAAAAATGATGCCAAATAATTTGGCAAATAATTGACATCGCAGTTTTCAGGCACGTCTAACTTTGTTAGCAGCTTGTATACCTCGGGCCAGGTGAGCTTCCCAAATTTCTTCTTTAATTTCCTCCAGTGAATCTCTGCTGTCTTTTTCAAGTATCTGTCATAGGACTAAAGGTGATTGGGTGTATCATAACAGTGCTTAAATGGATTAAGTTCAGAATTTTATTTATAATACTATGAGACAGTCCATGACTACCCAGGGTGGTCTAAAAATGTAGTGATGTGAGCTAGTTAAGCCTGCAGTTGACTATGATTTCAGTGACATTCAGAAGGGTGTACTATTGAAGGCTCTCTAGAATATGGGAATACTCACTTCTTAATAACCAGGGAACCAGCCAAATGCTATGGGCTAATGGCTCAGCTGCAGAAAATGCAGATGGGCAAATTGGAGACGATGATGCTCTGTAACTCCCTAATGATTGTTTCCTAGCATTGTGGCTTATTTTTGAGTGGCATGACAGCATCTTCCTGGTTGTATGTGGCCTGTTTCCATGATGTATTGAGTAGTGTTGTTTGTTGTGAGCATCGATGCCTGTAACACCAAGCTAAACACATTCTTTTGGATATGTTTCCTCTCTTTAAATGACCTTGCCCTGTCCAATAAATAAATGATTGTCTCACCCTGTTTTTGGTAGTGGTTTTTTTTTTATTATTATTTTATTTTTTACTTTTAATCTCATTTTCTTCTGCTTCTCTGTCCCCAGAAATGTAAGAGTTAATTTTATGACTGTATTTTTTCCAGTGTGATGCTGTTTTACTAAATTCAATGGATACTTTGCTTTTTATTGTACATGTAAAGTCTTATTGCAATTTTATGTTATTTTAAGAGTCGAAATAGAATGTGTAATCTCATTTTGTAAATTATCAGATGCCCTTTGGGGTATAAGAATTTTGGTCCTTGAGTAGCAGTGTTTAATCATTCCATCACAAATTTGTTATATAGCCAAACTACCATTACAAAATGTCACTTTATTATTAACAGAAAATCATTATGATTAAAGCATCGGGGGCAAGTCTAAAGTCTAATGACAATCCAAGGGGAAGTTCTGGTTCACAAAACTTGACACTTATCTGCAGTATTTTGAAAAATAGCACTACCAGTATTCAGTCTACCTAGGAGTATCTCAAAGTAACCTGCTAATCAAGTAAGCTTTGAAATAGGAAAAAAGAAAGATAATATATGCACATGGCAAAAAAAATCAGACGGTACAGAAAGGCATGAAATTGAAACTTGCCTCCTTCCCTCTTGCTTCTAATACCTCTCTCCAAAGGTAACCAGCTTAACGTGTCTTGTATATTCTTGCAGGAAAAAAAATATTTGCCAGCAAATATATACTTAAAAAAATTTACATTAATGGAATCAGATTGTATATACTCTTCTGTACCTTGCTTTTTTTGCTACCTGTGTCTTATAAGATCTTTCTCTATCAGTATATACAGAAATACCTCATTCTTTTTAATGACTGTGGTATTCCAATGTATGAATGTGTTATAAGTGTTCAAACATTGATGCGCTTTCCGGTTGTTTCCAATATTTTACTATTACTAAACCATATTGCAGCGAGCATACTTGTACATATAATGGGATTATACCAACATGGTTAATTCCTAGCAATAGAATTGCTGGGTCAAAGGTATTTTTCATTTTCAATTCAGTGGATATTGCCAAATTGTTCTCCAGAAATCTTTGCCCAGTTATACTTCCACAAATAATGTATAAGAATAAGAATTTATGAGGCCCATGCCAATACTGGGTACTAAACTTTTTAAAATTTGATCATCTGAAAGTGAATACGTGGAATCTTGCATCTTAATGAAGCTATAATGCATTTTAATGAAAGAGATGGAACACATTTTCATGTTTATTGGTTACTTATATTTCATTTTCTGTGAACTGTGTGGTCATGTTCTGTTTTCTATTAGATGATTTGTTTTTTATTGATTTGTATGAGCTCTTTGTAAGCTAAGAAAATTGGTCCACTGTCATGTTTAATAATATTTTCCTGCATTTTATTTATTTATTTATTTATTTATTTATGGAGTTAACTTATCAGTCTTTATGGCTTCTGCGATTTGTGCCTTGCTTAGAAAGGCCTTCTTTACATTTGAGAATAAATTTAATGTATTTTTCCAGTACTTTTTAAGTTTTTTTTTTTAACCTTTAAATCTTTCATTCATTTGGAATTTATTTAGGTAGAAGAAGTGAGGTAAGGATTCGACATTATTCTCCTCCAAATAGCTATCTGGTTATCCCAACCCCATTTATTAACTGTTTTTCCACACTGATTTGAAAAGCCATCCTCATTCATACATTGAATTTCCATATATATTTAGATCTGTTTCTGAGCTCTTCAGTCTGCTGCAAAAATTACTAGTCTTTTAATTAAGTTGTTATGTATTTTCATACTTGACATTACTAGTCCATAGTTCATTATTATTTTCAAGATTTTTTCTATTCTTGCATGCTTATATTTCCAGATAAACTTTAGTATCATTTTGTCCAATTCTAAAATCCTATTGATCTTTTCCCTAAATTCTTTTTAATAATTTTATTTATTTATTTTTTCCCTCCAAGCCCCAGTAGATAGTTGTATGTCATAGCTGCACATCCTTCTAGTTGCTATATGTGGGACGCAGCCTCCCCATGGCCAGAGAAGCCATGTGTCGGTACGCACTCCAGATCCAAACCTAGGCCGCCAGCAGCGGCGCGCGCCCACTTAACCGCTAAGCCATGGGGCCGGCCCTCCCTAAAATTTTATTTTGAAAAATTTCAAACTTACAGAAAATGTGAAAGAGTAGTATGATAAATGCCAATGTACTTTTCATTTAGATTCATCGTTCCTAACATTTTGCCACTTTTGCGTTTGTTCTCTCCAAATGTGCTTTTTTTCCCCTCTTGAATCATCTGTGGTAAGTTGCGGACTTCATCATCACACTTCATGACATGACATCCCTGAATATGTCAGTGTGCCTCTCCTAATAAGAGTGAGGATATTCTCTCATTTATCCAGAATACCATTGTCGCACTTAAGAAAATGATGAACCATCCAATATTATTTCATATTCAAGTTTCCCCATGCATCCCCAGAATGACTTTTATAGCTGTCCCCACCAAGGTTCACAAATTACATTGGTTATTGTGTCTCTAGTCTCTTTTAAAC